ACGCCCGGTTACCGAGGAAATCATTCAACAAGTCCAAGACATGATTCTCGCTGATCGACGAACGAAATTGTACGAAGTAGCAGAGGTCGTAGGTGTGCCGACCGGAACGGCAATCAATATTTTACATGATATGGCTATGAAAAAATTGTCGGCCCGATGGGTGCCGCGATTGCTCACGGTGGACAACAAGCGGATGCGGCTGTTAACTTCGAAGCACTGTTTGGAGCAATTTAAGCCAAATCCTTCGAGTTGTCACCGTCGATGAAACCTGAATTCATCATTACACACCGGAAACTAAGCAACAATCAAAACAATGGATTTCTTTAGGTGAATCTGTTCCAAAGAGGGCGAAGACGGTCCCATCGGCCGAAAAGGTCATGGCGACGATTTTTTGGGATGCGAACCGCGTGTATTTTTTAGAAAAAGGAAGGACTATCACTGGAGAATACTATATAGTGAGCTTTTGGACCGCTTCGACAAAAAATTGAAGGGAGCACGGCCACATTTGACGAAAAAGGAGGTGCTGTTTCACCACGATAACGCACCAGCACATTCATCCGGAATTGTCGCCGCCATACTGCATGAATTGCGTTATGAAGTGCTGCCGCACCCCCCATATTCACCCGATCTGGCCCCCTGTGACTTTTTCTTGTTCTCTGACATGAAGAAACGGCTCGCGGGGAAAACATTTCGCTCAAACGAGGAAGTCAACGCCGAGACAGGCGTATTTTGGAGAGTTCGACAAATCCCATTTTTTGGGGGAGGTTAAAAAATGGCAGGAACGTTGGGAAAAGTGTATCTTTCGAAAGGGGATTATTTTTTTGGAAAAAAATGGTGTCTTCATTTCTAACACGGGTACTTATTGAACCGCCCTCGTATGTTCGTTTTTATGACATATAGGTTTGTTGTGGCATTATGTAGGTTGAAATGTTCAGCGCTGAGACCGCGGAGATATCAGTAGCTCCCAGAACTCCAAACTGTGAACATCTTCTGAAGATGCCAACCACTCGTGTTGACGAAACGTCAAGTAAAAATATTTTACGACGGCCTAACTGCCCAAAAACCAACCAAATAACATTCTGTAGGTTTTTCTATAAAATGTCACTTGATGTGCACTCGTTCTGTAGCTGTACGTGTTGCCTAAACACCATGACGCTTCAGCTATCAATGTTTGGCTCTGTCGTGATGTAACATCTGCTTCAGAGATGGCGTTATCGGAGCTCTAAGCGGTAAGCTATGTATTATAACTGGAAGAAAACGGCAGTGCACACGTGCATAGTGACGATTTGAGTGCTAATAATCTGTGTTGCTCATAATTCCATTGGTTTCTTGTCTCAAATACTCTTACTTGAGGTGTATGCAAAGCTAGAAATTAGTTGCGCTTCTAATTTTTCTTATTCATCTGGGAAATTACATATGCAAATTTGCTGGATTTAAACAATGAGAGAGATAAGAAACGAAAATGCCTTGTTGCTAAAGTATATTTCAACCAACAGATGGGAAAATACGTCACTGACCGAAATTTTTATGGAACGTCAACAAGTTATGACATTCTACATTATTTTTTAAATTTTATAGAAATTCATTTTGCGATGTCAAGTAGAAAATACAAATCAGCGCCTAGATGTGAGGCACTGCAAAAATGTTTTATGTGTAATGCGTCAGTCCTACTTTTTGCTTGATGTGGCCTAATTACGCACAACACGGGCACGGTGGTGATTTCCCTTAATGCTCCTCAAAGTTTTTGAAAACGCAAAAGAACGGGGAAAATCTCAATTTATAACTTTGAACGAAACCTCTCTTCAGAAAAGACAACACAATAACTCGTCTGGTTATCTGTACTTCATGGACAGCATCTTCAAAAATAATTTTCTCGCATAGCAAATATCACTGATTTGATACACATGCAGACCAATAGATACACCCAAGCATCCAGATGCGATCTTGCTACTCTACTAGCCAACCAATTTTCTTTGTCACATATTTTCGGAGATATACTCTACAGACTATCTCGACATTCCATTTTCTACCTAGAGTTCAACCCTACGAAATGAATTCAGCATAAACTGCCTAGGTGTACGATTCACTTGTAACAACAACTTGCGTCTAAGACATCTTAAGCTCTGACATCTTTTTTTTTTAAATTCGTTTGATTGTAGGGCTTTGAGCCGTGGCCCTAGTATCGAGTCGCGTGTGCGCATTGGATAAAAACGGAAAATGCTGACGAAAATGTAAAATTTTAAAGAATTCCTACGTACCTATATACCCCTACAAAAACTTGTTACCTAAGTCAAACTAGATGCTAGGACCTACTGCGAGGCCCAAACAATCCATCTTCTACCTTTTAGCTTGACCCCATTATACTTCAGAATTTTTTGACGAATATATTCGAATTCAGCGCCATAAAAAACTAGGATTTTCAAGCTTCATCTAAATGTAAAAGAACTAACAAAAAACACATCCTATATTTTTTGAATCTCGTTTTTGACAATTTTCATTAGTCTTTGCGTATGTCTAAGCCCTTAAAAAAGTCTTTTTCTATATTAAGTCGAATTCGTAGATTCCAAGTCCAATTTAACGCGAGGACCCACGAGAGTTTTCAAATAGCCCATTTTCTAACCACATTTCAACCCTACGAGTTTAACATTTTTTGACGATTATATCGTAGTTCAGTGCCCCAAATTAGATTTCATTCGCTTGTATCAACGGCTGGTAAAAATGGAAATTTGCCCTACCAAGTCCCATAATATTTTTGGGATTCCTATGACAAAAATAGTGTCAGGTAGGTTGACTCGACACTTCCCACGAAACACAGTCACCAGTTCATAGCGGATTATATTATGCACGAACATAAATAACAAGAAAAATAATAAATGGACCAAGTTAGACAAACAGGCCCATACAATTGGTCCATATTCTCCACCTGCTCTACCGACAGTATCGACCAGCTTCCAACGTTGCTATGACTAACCTCGCCACTCGCCAGCCACGGCACCATGGCACCCACCACAGACTACTTTCGTTCAGAGCACAGGTATTTCCAGAGACGAGTGCTGAAAATATTTCGCTTTTTGTTTTAAGGGCGAACGCACGGTTAAATCTATGATGAGTGATATATGTATATCAGGTGCGTAGACATATGCGCTTGTAGGAATTTTCTCAGTGGGGGGCGATTATAGGGGAGAGATAACTTTCAGTCAAAGTGCACCTGACTCAAAAACTTTTTTAATAGCCGGGGGTAGTAAATTTTCTCGAGGGGGTCAAAACCTAGAAATCTCTAAATTATACACAAAATCATACTAAATATGCAAATTTTAAGGGCCAAACTGATTCCTAGGGAGAGAGTAAATATATTTTATAATTTTTGACTGTCCGTGTATTTTATTTTATAGTTGCTTTATTATTGCTCTTAGAACTAAGAAGTATCTTTCTTTATAATGTTTAACTAAAATAAACACATAAATTAAATATTTTATTAAAATCTCTTATAAAGCAAAAAGTATTTCATAACATGGAAGCCATTTTTTGTGTATTACAAAAAATCATTTTTGCAATGATTAAATGTGTTAATTTACTACTTTGATGTTTATATAATGGTATAAGATGGTTCACTTGGATTATTTTATTACAATAGAGGCCAGAATAAAGAAAAACAAATAATGAAAATGTTTACATTGTCTCTTAAAATTCATTAATAACTAATATACTTGAGGTGCTTGAAAATGTTGCTACATATATTATACAAAAAAATTGCGCAGTAAAATATAAAGATTACAATTTCTGCCTGTCTGGTATTAGGTGTACGAGTATATATCAGAACTGAAAGAATCAAATGCAACATGACTGATGTAGTTACTCAAACATTTTATTTGCTAAAAAAGATTTAATGCTTGCCTAGTTGTTGAATCAAGGATCATTAAAAAACAAATTGTTCTCAGTGGGTGAAATTTAGCAACAAAAGCAAACTTTTAGTGTTAGATAAAATAAAAAAAAAACTTCATCTAAGATAATAAAACAACTTTTATAAAATTGTGTTATTCTAGTTCCATAACTGTTTTCAATAAATGTTATAATGGTTGCATACCGTGTTTTATATTAATTTTAAAAACGTTTAAACAATTTATCCGGTAAAAACTGTGCAAGCCTTAATAAAACAAATTAAAGAAAAATGCTACGCAAGAGTGCATCATTTTTGGGTTTAAAAGCATTGTATACCTAAACGTTGTTAGGACATTTATAGCGGCGTTGTTGTTTTATATCTAAGAATAGTTTGGTAAACGTTGTTAGGATATTTACAAAACATACATTCTTAGTTGGGATGAGCGTAGAAATTCCACACTAACGCCAAAAAATGAGATATACTCTCCCCGCCAGTTCCTAAAATCCCAAACTTTCATTTTTATTTCTACAAAACTTTTTCCTGAAATTGATCAGGAGGCCTGGAAACGCCAAAAACGAAGTTTGGGCGTTTTATTTCCTAGGTTAGCCGCCATTATCCCGATTTTCAACAACTACAACGGCTTTTCATCCTTGGCTTGGCATATTAGTAACGTTGTGTAAAAATTTCTTCAAAATCCGAGCAGTATCTACTTTCCAAGTTATAGACGGGCCAAGGATTAACGGACAGACAGACCGACAGACAAGCCGACGGAAATGAATATCCTGGTTTTATTGTTATGTACATACATTTTCGAACTTTTTTCGTGATTACAATACTTCCTCGTCAAAACTCGATTTAAATAGTAAATCTGTTGAGAATTCTACATTAATTTGACGCTAGGACGTACATGTGGTTCTAAGCGACTCGTTTGCCACCATAAATTCTGCCCACGACCTTTACAGTAATAGGTAAGAACGTAATAAGATGCAGAACACTATTATAGATAAAATGCGCCTATTTAAATTTCCCACCCATCCCCCCACCAACACAAACTTAAAATGCAAGCAACGTTGTCAAGTTGTTGGAATTTCTCTCTAAATGCAACTTTTTGATGGCTCTACTCCTAGTTTGAAAGTGTTTACGTTTTCATTTTCCTTGTTCAAACCCACTAAAATAAAAATTACCTATGATGGTAAGCTAACATGCACTCGATTTACCTCACTTACTAAAGCACAAAGTATATGAAATGTAGAGTGCAGGATTTATTATACTTACTATAATCGTAGGCATATTTATAGACCTTAGAGATAATTTGCTATAAATGTCTGCGAACCAAAAAGCTCGATTTTTTTCAGGTAAACAGCAATGACTTGGTGGTTATGTATCCCTAACTCTTCAAGATATGAATTTGTTATTTTTATGTATCTTTGTGAATGCTGTGAGTCCCTACCAATTTGAGGGCACTATTTTCACACCACCACTGTATCTGCTTCTATGAATATGCCTTAGCCCAGGCCTCAGACTCATTTCCGGCCAAGCCCAGCTTATCATATCTAGAAACGTGGCTACGCCGCACAGTGCATCAATCACGAATCGTAATTCCCGGATGCCCGGATTGGTCCGGAAATGGCTAATTAGGGTTGCTCGCCCGTGTTGATGTTCGTTTGTTTCATTTCACGTACTGTTGATTTGACAACTGGAATTTTGTTATGTAACCCTTAACACCAACACACAACAGCAAAACAATCGGTAGTGATCAAAGTTTAATCGGCGTTTGTTTTGGATTTTCGGGCAGCAACTTCAGGGTGAGTAAGCTGGTTTATTTATAGGTTATTTCCTTGCCATGGCGTCTTCCTCTAATATTTATCATTTGTGTTCATTTTTTCCAGATAATGGCTACGACGGAGCAATTTTCCCTTCGGTGGAACAATTTTCATTCTAACCTCACATCCGGTTTTCATGAGTTGTTAGAAGCGGCTGATATGGTGGATGTTACATTAGCTGTGGATGGTCACTTCCTCCAGGCACATAAAATAGTTCTCTCTATATGCAGTCCATTTTTCAAACAAATGTTCAAGGTAAATCCTTGTAAACATCCCATTGTAATTTTGAAAGACGTAGGCCACGAACACATGAAGGATATACTGGAGTTTATGTATATGGGGCAAGTCAGTGTACTACGTGAGAATCTGACGCAATTTTTGAGGACTGCAGAGCTACTACAAGTCAAGGGACTCACTGGAGATGATTCTGTAAGTTGATCTACTGATGCGTAGATAAATAAGAAATGAATATCTCTAGAACAGTTGACTGACACATACTTCTGGAGTAACTCTGGAAATGTTAATTAAAATAAAAATTATATCAATTAATAATTCTCATAATAGTGTATTTCTTTTCTGGCAAGGATAAGTTCTGTTAAGTCTGATGTTTCATGCTAAAATTTTTTATTCAGGCAATTAACTGTAGAAGCATTACACTTAAATATGTTAGAAATAATGGTGAATTAATATATCTTTATAAATGAAAATGATGACATATTCTATTCATTTTTTCTCTATTACAATTTAATGATGATTATATAAACTCAAAAGAATGATTATTCCAACACAAGTCATTAGCTATTGAGGCAGTGGTGTCACCTTGGGTGACACCTGGTGAGAAAGTTGGTAGTGTCACCCCACCAAAAGTACAATAGCATAAGTATGTGATAAGCAATATGGATTCTTTATGTTTATTTGAAACTGCTATTTCATTTGCCTGGGTGAACCCTCTTTACTGCTGCTTTACATTATTAGTAAGGATATACACAACCTAGGGCTGGTGAGGGGACTTCCTGAACAAGATGGAATCAATCTAATTTTTTACTCAATTTTTTATTTTTATGTTATTGATGTTGAATCACCAGGTATCATGTGAAAAATATTTTATTCTTTTTCTCGTCAATTTAAAATTTTGATTCACTTGAATACATGTTATCAATATGAGTAATAATATAATATTAATTTCAGCTAAAAATACTATCAATGTTTTTGTTTATAAAACCTTATCAGTGATGCAAATGCAAATATTTAAATGACTAATTACATAATGTTTTCAAAACATCTAAACATCTCATTACAATGTAGCAATTTGATATAGTAGTAATCTTAGATAGATCTTGAGAACTTCCATATCAGTTGTTTATCTTTTAAGATGTATAGTATTTATTATATACTTCCATTAGATTTACTCTCTTCTTAATGTTAACCGAATTGATTCCTCATATTACTTGAAGCTTATAACTTTGGCCTATACTTCATCTGTAATTGAAAAATAGATGTTTATGCTGATATTTGTTCAGATGTAAGATTTCAACACAATTTGTTTTTGTTTGCACAACACAAGTTGTGTTGTTTTGGTCTAGTAAAGGAAGATATGTTTAATTACCAGTTATGGTCAAGAAAGACTCAATAAACAGCTTTATTTTTTATTGAGTTGTTTACAAAATAAGAGCTATAATTTTAATAGTCTTTTTGCTACATCTCTAAAAGTGATCCATTGTTGCCACCTTGAACCCATTTGCATGAACATTTGAATACATATCCAAAATATGTGGTATTTTTACAAATTTCAGGGAGATGATACCTCATCAACAAAAGATGTGAAATCAGTATGTGATAATGAAGATGAAAGTGATATTTACAACCACTTGATAGAGGCAGACATGGAGTTACCATTATATCAGCCAAATACACAACCAAATGTTCATCAAAGTGGAAAAAGGGTTAAAAATATCAATTGTATTACAAATACCAAACGTGCCAAGGTATGTACAAAAGCAATAAAAAACACACTTTTTTCACTTTCAAAATCATATGAATAGTTTATGTAAAAATATTACATGCAAATTATCTATAATATTACAGGTGAACCCCTTTTTGTGCATGTTTTTTATGTTTCAGTGTGATTATCCGCAATCAAAGCCATCACCAGCTAAAGAAGAATTTGAACCATTGAAATCCAAAGATTACAGCCATATACAAAACAGTGAGACTCCTAACATAAACAATTCTTTCAACACTACCACTGCTAGTCCTGAAAGTGAAGCCAAAGAACCACTTAATATGAAAGTCACATGGTTTGGCAGCGAGAGCTCTATAGGAGATCAAAGTCTTGGAGAGCAAGGTACACATGGAACTCAAGGACTACATACTAAATTCAACACTTTCTCATCTATAGCAGGAACATATTCGCAATGATTTCCATGAGTCATAGATAAGGAAGTGTTGCTTAGAAGAATGACATGAAGCAGAAAGAAAATGGAAAAAAGTTTATCAATTTTAAAGTCGCACAATCAGCTTATGTATAGGTCATTTGACGGTTTTTGGCAGATCAAAGTATAACTACAGTAATTACTGTCATACATCCATCTTCCTCACACATGCATAATCAGTCTCCATACACGGACATTTCTGTAACTTCACATACATACATACGTTTCTTTGTATTGTCTCACCGCCTAGAACATTTTCTCGTCAACATTTAGGTAAGCGTGTTGTCGCTATGAAAACTTACTTGGCATGGGCGTGCGAGTTTAATTCTTGTTCACCTTTGATATAATAATGCCTGAAGATAGGACTGCAATGATAACAGTTAATGTTAAATTGATTGGAGTATTTTGGGAAAATGAATGAAAACAAGCAACACTCAATTGATGTGCGTGCAAGGGGGAGTAGCAGCTGCATTATGGACCGGTTTGTGCAGTGTGCAATTTCCCTTAGGGAAGTTATGCTCTGCATGAGACAATATGTTTAGCTTAAACAAGATGCTTTCATCTGTCTGACCAGAAAAGGAACTCAACCAGCCATGCTCAGCTGGTTCGTGCTTCTTAGCTACTCATCAGCATGGTATAGGATTGGTCTTTTATCTCTGGACGAATGAACGAAAGTATCACAATGATCATCTATACCATAGATACGGTTTATCAGCATGAGATAGCGCAAAGCGCCATCTATCGCACCAGAATCGACCACTGTGGATCGCGCATCGCTGCAATTAGTTGGAACTGTTAAGGATCTCAGTTTGAGTTTAATAGCCGTGCCGCTAGATGGCTGATGATTCTGGCGCGATCCACAATGGTCGATTCTGGTGCGATAGATGGCGCTTTGCGCTATCTCATGCCAATATGTTTAGTTATTTCGTACAACAGTGTAATGTAACCATCAAAAACCGTGAAAAGAGCTATATGTACCAACAACTTTTTATGAATCAGAGTTAAAAAGCAAATTCATTTGTAGCCAATATTTATAGTTTTTATTTTACAAGAACAAACCTATTATCTACTTATCAATCAAAACTAAATATGTCACAAAGACTTTCTTTAATTTTTCCGTTTTTATTTTGTGTTCTACCAACTAATAATTGTTTGCATGAGAAATTGAGGCTTAGTTTACCCCTGGTGTCACTATCATGTTTGTCAACTTATTAATGACATTTTAAATGTTTGTACCTCAAAAGCAGATTATTATATCGCCATCATGTGCATATAACTCAATTACTAAATTCCATCTTGAGGTTGTCCAGTTGACACGACATATCAATTTTTAAAAACTGCTTTTGTATGTACAGGGTTTGCTTGACTGTGTTGCTATATGTAGTGCATGCTATCTATAGTTTGATTTCCTTTTGATTCTGTCATCCTTAAAACATCCTTTCTTTGAACAAAAAGTATTTTCTCTCTGCTTTCAAAAATGTAAAATTGCTTCCACATGTAGATTGAGCAATGGTCAACAACTGTTGACAATTAAAATATTTTGAAGTATAAATTCAGTCTCTCTATCTTATTTTCATAAAGGGATTGATATTTTTAAGAAGCATGTGAAAACCAGTGAACCAGGAAAACGTCCACCAAATCAATTCAGATTTTAGATGATGTTGATATGCCGTAGCGGACAAAAGTTTAGAAGAAAATATTAACGTTATTATGAACCATTTCATATACCTAAATTAAAATTGTGAAGAAACAGATAATATATATATTAAAGTCTACCTTTGGCTCCCGTACTAATACAAGGTTGATCTTATCAATATTCAATTTCTCTGAAAATAAAAGACGCGGTTTTTTAAATACCACATTTTTTGCGGTAAATATGAACATCAGTGAGAATGGCAAAAGTAAAAGAAAGATTTAAGAGACAAAGAGATTGAAATAATTATTTTTAAGTGATGCCAGAAATGTTGACATTTCTCAAAGATTAAAAATAAACAAAGGGACGAGTTCGGAAATTATTAGTAAATATCAAGAATACGGATCAACAGCAACGCGACCCAGGTGCGGAAGATCGAAAAAACCGATCATGTTTAGGATCGCTACATTAAACGTTTGTCCCATGAATGCCAGCCACACGAATTTTCAAAAGAATCGTAGACGAGAGTGCCGAAAATTTTTCTGTCAGCACAGTGCAGAGACACTTGGTGGATTTTGGGCTTTTTGGTAGGCGCCCAGTGCAAAATCCTCTCATTTAAAAAAAACGTATTGCTCTGCTTGAACTCATCTAACTTGGACAAAACAACAATGAAATATAGTTTTATGGAGCGATAAAAGCAAATTTATCTTGTTTGGATCTGACGGTACGGCATATGTGAGACGTCCAATACGAAAAAGATTCAACAAAAAGTATCAGATGCCAACAGTTAAGCACGGTGGAGGAAACATCATACGTTTTTGGCTGTTTTTCTAGTTCTGGAACGGGTCCAATTGTTAAAATTGTTGGGAAAATGGATCAAAAACAAACAAAGGATATTCTTAGTGAACACATGCTCCATTTGCTGAAGAAGAAATGCCTTTACGATGGACATTCCCCAAGCATACCTCAAAATTCGTAAAGTACTGGTTAAGACAAAAAAATGTTAATGTTCCTACATGGCCTTCGCATATGTGGGTGCATGTTAAAAGACAACTAACAAGAAAAACTTTAAAAAAAATACGAACGATTTATTTGATCAAATAAAAAAATATTTGGCAAAATATCCCAAAAATTGGTATCTTCTATGAGCAGCAGATGGTAGGCAGTGTTGAATGCTAAATGCTATGCTACCAAATATTAGCTAAGCATTATTTTTTAAATCTTTTTGTAGCCCACTTTTTAAAAATTACTAAGAAGGTTTTCAAACTTTTGTTCGCTACTGTAGCTTATAGCTGCAAAATCGATATTTGAAAGTATTATAAACTAATTATTTTTTGTGGGTAGTAGAATAAGATCTTGTAAAACACTACTTTAGAGCTTGCACATAGCATTTTTTCATCGCGTGTTTCTATTTTGTGCCTGTTCTATCAACTTGCATTGCATGGTAAGTAGCTATGATTTCTACTAACAACGTTTTTATTACTACTGATTTTACAGCTGCAATTGGATTTTCTACATATATTTTAGAGGTATGTTGCTTTAGCATCACGATTTGTATCCCAAACGTGAATCTGCTTCTAACATATCGTCGCTCATCACACGTATTCGGAATTCGACATAAATATATTACATCCAGTGGTGGACAAATGTCTTCTATGATTTGTAAATGCTTCTAAGTAAAACAACTCTGAAAACAGAAGTCATTCTGGGTAAGATGAGAGATGATATGATACCAGAGACAAAGATAGTTGACAAATTTAAATAGCTTGGATTAACCACAATTTGTAGGTAGAAATTCAAAATCGTAGTATTATCTCAAATTACTAATATCATTATTGTCTGAATGTATAATCTTCTCTTACACTTGAATTTGAGAAGTTAGTTTATTCAGTGTTACCCATTAACATAGTATACTTCTGAAATCTAACATCTCTATTTCCTTCACGTTGCTGCTAAAGGAGGTCAAGTAAGCATTTCACCATATCTCAAACCAACGAAGCTTCTATGAGTTTCTCTTAATCCAGGAAAACTGGACAAGTTTCAACAGAACCACAGAAATCCCTACCAGTGCAGCCAATGCAAGAAACGATTTTCCCGAAAAGACCACTTACGCACCCATGAGAAAAACATACACGGAGAATTCGCTGGACCTTTCAGGTGTACGATTTGCGAACAGTTCTACAAAAATACGGAGAGTCTCAGGAAACACATGGCCAAGTTTCACTTGTCCACAGTCACTGACAATATTCAGAAGATAGAAGTGGGGGCTTAGCAGATATTGCTCTTATAGGTCCAGTGGGTTTCAGCATAATATTAGAAACGATTGAAGTATATAGCCTTAGGTTGTCCATAAAAACATGTTGGACCTAACATTTAAATGTCACAAGAAATTATTTTCTACATGAGGTGAGAATTAATGACGTGTTATGTGAACGCTGAACATGTGACGTATTTAGCCTGGATATGTTGGGTGGAGGACTCCACTATAATAAAATCTAAGTCATTCAAACGAGTTCCTTTGGGCGAGCGTTGAGCGGGCTGTACAGGTAGAATCCACAGTCGCTCCATTTTTCAGGTGCTCTATTTCTATAATCGATCCAGACCGGCACTGGTTTTACTTATCTTGAAAAGTGACATTATGTTGTTTTTTGTGACATTATATAAATTTTTCTACGCGATGCTAACTTAGCACTAACTGATGGAAACGTTGTGAGCTCGTTTTGTAGTTGTACATTGTTGGCTAAACGTTATGAGGTGTCAGTTATCAATGTTTGGCTCTGATGTGAATCTGCTTCACAAATGGCATTACTGGAGGTAACGGTATTGTGTGCTAATAATATGTGTTCCATTGGATTCTTGTCTCAAATTGAGATTCAAAGGTAGACATTAGTTGCGCATCCAGTTTTCGTATCCATTCTGGAAATTACATATACAAATTTGCCGAATTTCAAAAATGAGAATAATTATATTCACTGTACACTGTCGAATTACAAGTCATATACATGCTAACAGTAATTATAGATAACTCGAGCGCGGAGGTGATTTCCTGTAATTCTCCTCAAAGATTTTGAAAACACGAAAAAAAAAACGTAAAAAATCGTAATTTATAACTTTGAACATAACCTGTCTTCAGAAAGGACAACTTATAAATAACCCATTGGGCACAGCTATATATGCTTCATTGGCAGCATGTTTAGTAATGATTTTCTCACACAAGAGTCAAAAAGGGGGTCCATATAAACGACCAAACGTTTTCCTATGATAACGCAATAAGAAAACGATTGAAATGGTGTACAAAAAACACTTTAAAAGTTATATTAACTCCTACAAAGAAGTTAATACGAATGTACTCTGTTTCGATTCATCGAAAAATTGCAATTTGCGTTGACGTGAGATAACCACAAGGCAATGAATACTCGTACCCTGGAAAAAGCTCTTGCTTCTCCCGCAGTCAAAGTCTTTGGGAGAAAGCGTTGTCGAAAACTGTGTAGGTGCTACAAAACAATAAGAATAACTTTATCAAATAAATAAAAGAGCTGTTAGCAAGTATAAAATGGATCTGTAGCGTACAAAAAAACAAAACAAAATACGGCTCCGACTACCTGGCGTTGACGGATCCGTCAGAATTATGTGTCCTGCGCCGATATGGGGAATTTTGAGATATTACTAGATAATCTGCTGTCATTCTACCGTGATGGATACTCGTGAAATAGGGTATACATTTGATCTTAAATGGAACGTAAAATAAATTATACTAATATGGTTCCCTTTTTACATACCTCTAATAAAGCGCAACTTTTGCATCTGGCATTTCATTAACCTTTTTTCCAATATATGTGCGACAAAAGCGCATTGTTATTAAACGTCCGTTCAACAAAGTTTTGTATGATAAGTTTTAGTCTTAAGACGTCCTTACAAATTACAGTTCATTTTATTGGAAGATGCTTAAAAGATATATGTGACCAGTAAGTCATTTAGGACATATCATCAAAAAATGGTCCCGCAGGGAACGTGCTTACCCACGGGGCCCGGTCTCAGCTTCCGAATGCTTAAAAAACAATATTCAAGTACCCCCTCCGCTCTTCAATTTTTCCTAACGTCAAAATAAGGCTAAGCATTCCGCTCTGCCGTGGGGTTCTTTCAGCCGCAGGCCCCGAGCTTGAGACGAGTCCAGGGACCCCTTCATTGCTTAAGATGGCCCTGTGTAACAACGTCATGTTGGGTTGATCATGAATAGCAAACGCCCTAACAGTGCATTTATTTATCTTCCGTGGTACAAGTGGCATTTTTAGCGTCAGTATAACATGTTATTTAGGTGCAGCTTACCTACCCACTGGTCCTTAATTCTAAGTGCCTTAAATGTCGTGTGTATCTCAATCATATACAAAGTATTCTCTTTTCAAATATGTTACCTGCAATAATCTATTCGTTTATTATTATATACTCTCGATAAGTTATGATGTTAAAAATTATCTTTCTAGATTTTAATGTTTGTTAGGGTTTTAAGTTTTAGCGCTTATACATTTTATTTCCAAATCTAGAGCATATTCATATAGATCTACTTTGTATTGTAATAGTTTTGTTACAAGCATTATCTTCTAATCATCTGAAATAATTATAGATTCATGTTACACCAAAACCAGTATGGTATAACAGTTATTATCGCCAACCTTGTTGATAGCGATTAGCACATATGGTTTTTGGAATTGCTGTAGTGTATTAGGAGTTACCAAAGCTAAATTTTCGAATTTAGACAAGTTAGTCCTGAGGTAGTCAATATTTTTTTAGGTTCATCGCATCAATTTAAAAATACGTATAAAGGCATTATGAAGTATTTATATAGTTCAGCACTATGATGCTTTATTTGTGGAAATATGTGTTACTAGTCAGTCATTGTCATTAAGGGCATTATTTTTATTATACCAAAACACCATTTACGTTAATCAATTTATTTGGCAATAAGCAGGGCTCATTTGTCACGATTTTTATTGTTATTGTATAACTTTCATACAATTTATATTAAATTACGATATTATTTTTAGCCTCACCTATTGATATCTTTTTTGAACCTTGTATTTTTTCGAATAAAATTGTGTAAAAATATTTGCTTGTTTTATTGTAAACCTTGCCTAACTTGGTTACACAAGACTGAATATAGTGCTTTACTACTACTACGTTCTTTGATGATACAGAAATGGGCGTCAAATTAGATTTGCACGCAATTTGCTGTAAATTGCAGTGTACTTCAGGATTATTGGCTTAAGTTTGGGTGTCTCATCCAAATAAATACCTTTGATAATGGTGAAGTGTGTTGTTGGCATTAAGTCAGTCACGTTACCATGGAGGCATTTGAGTATCCTGCAAGTAATATTGGTATAATGGGTTTGCTATATTTTATCCACAGACCAGGGAGGCGCAAAGGATAGTGAGCATGGATCGATCAACGTATGTCCCTACTAACAACATATCATCTCAATATTCAGCATCATGGTTAATTAAAAATCGCATTGGTGTTTGGGTTGTTCATGTACCTAAAGGTAAAACCAGTCAACCTTCCTTCTAACTGTATTATTCTTACCTTATACATTTTCAGATTCTCTTCAAAACTGTGCCGACATCAAAACTCACGTGTTCTGCCCGTACTGCTACCGCAAGTTTGTGAACAGGTACAATTTAAAGGTACATGTAAGGGACAAACATGAAACCAAAGTTACTGATTTAGACTGTCAAATATGCGGAAAGACTATGAGAAACCAAAGTTGTTTGCGGGTGCATATGTACCACCACAGGAAGCAGCAGTTGGATCTTGAAGGGCTAACTGCTGGAGGTATACCTGCTACAGTTCCTAGTGAAGTATCTTAAGGCATTTATTTTCTTCATATGCTCGGCAAATAATTGCTCAAAATCTTCGTCAAACAATTCAGGGGGTAGTTTTTATGATCGTTGTTTTTGGGGAAAGGTACCTACAAAACTAGATAACGTTTTGTTATACAGTTTTTAGTGACAGCTTGATGTCATTCTCAGTAAAGAGTCTTCAAAAGGACGGATTGACGGTGAAATAAAATAAGCTATGTGTGAGAATTACAAGACAACACCATATTAGTATATAAAATTAACAAATAGCAAAGCTCACTAAGGATACTTTTAATATTTCTAAAAGTACAATTAAATATATCGCACAAATAAAAAATGTGATTATAATTTGAGCGCATAGCTCTATGTGGTGACATTAATAGCAGGTTCCTAATTACACGCATACAAAACAAAAGCTGATCCTGCCGAGAACTAAGTCTAGGAACATAAAAGTATATTTGGAATAACAGTTCAGACGAATCTATTAAGTTGTTCAGAAGCTAATTATACTATGTTCACGTCGGTTTTTCAGTGAGGCTAACCCAAATATATTCATTACAACTGCGAAGTCACAACCACTCTCTGGATAAAATCCATCAACTTTAAAGACTAGGTACTTTAAAACGTTTTCTGGACATAATCAGTCCTGTTTATGTAGCATTGGTAGTAAGGACTCTGAACTATTGATGTATTTCAAGTTTTAAAGAAGTATAAAGCTTTCAGGGTATCGAATATCAAACATAAGCTTATTACAATTTCTAACTAGAAATCCAAAAGACATGCTGGCATCAGTAATTGTTTGAGATATGTGATGATCAAAACAAATGTTAATCTCATGTCGCAAAAAGTGTCATATCGTTCAAGACTTACACCACTTTAAATATACTTATATATTCTGCTTATGTGTATAGAATACAATGTTGCATTTACTGACATTTAATTGGAGCCTATTCATACTGCACCATCTCTGAAAATTATCGAGCTGGGATTGTAAATGTTTACAATCATCAATTAATTTGACAAAATACTTTTAAGTCGTCCATAAGTACCACATGTTACATTTTAAGTTCATAATGGGGAGCACTGATAAATAGTAAAAACACGAAACGACTCAATAAGTATGACCCTTCGGGCGCCCCTGAAGTGGCCAAATACTGCTGAGACTTATATCTATTATAAGTTACCTACAAGCGACGATCAGTAAGTTAAGACGAGAATAGTTTTATGGACTGATTAATAAAGCCAAAGCGGTACAAGTTTCTGTATCTGTCTGAATATATGACACCTAGATGACCTTGATTATATAATGTATCTATTAGACGCTAACTGGGAAAATATTGTCAAGTTGGGTACTGTAGATCTGTAGGAAATTCTTAGGAGTTTATATTGACCAAGCACTTTCCGGCGCTAAACATTCAGAACATCTAGAAAAAAGATTAAACAATGCACACCTTAAGATTAGAGTACTAAGTACCTAGATCTAAAAATAGAAGGGATCTTTCTAGTGCAGAAGCGAGTGCTAAGGTGCATCCTAAAAAATTCCTCTAGAGAGACTTGCAGAGGAACATTCAAGTGTAATAAAATGTTAACTGTAGCCATAATATACATTCAATTGATACTAATTTTTACATTTAAAAACATTGACAACTTTATTGTTAACCTGCGAAGTAATTATAAAACAAAACAGAAATATAAATCTTCTGTATCTCATCATGTCACGGATACCGAAAAAAATATCCATTACAGCCATACCAAAATATAAAATAAGTTACCTCAAGAAAATAAAAGGTTGTTGGATATAAAATAATTCAAAATAAAGAGTATTCATAATTGTTAATGCAAATCAGTATATGTTAGCTGTGACATATATTTCACCTAACAGTGTAATGATGTACTGTTATTTTGAAATAAAAATGTATTATTATTATATGACAGAAAAGATTTGGTCACTATAATATATATTATCTCATATTCTTAAACCCATGCTGGTCTTCAGAAATGTGCGTATGTGTAAACAGATAGTTGTGATTATATAAAAGGACATCCAAAAGCTTAGCAAAAGTGCTGAAGATACAGATTTTCCAATAATTGATAACTAGGGCTTTGTCCCCTAATTTGAAGACTGGACAAAGGTTCTAGGTTCTTACCTGTCAATTGGAAAATTTAAAGTCACAAATAGGTTGCTTTATTCAACCAACAGTGCTCCATCCTTATTGGACAGCCTTTAATATTTATTTGAGGACTCTTATGCAAACTTTCACAAAAAACTATCCTTTAAATTGTTTATATTTACATACAACATATATACATAGTTTTTCTGTTATTGTTGTGCAGTTATTTTTTATTTGTTAAATGTGAGGGTCTAATAGAACTTGTAATATGTTGAAGGTTTTAGCACCTCAATTGTTGTTTCATGGGTAGGTGAAATTATTTATAATTTTCAAATGGATATTGTTGTTCTTTTATATTAAGTTGTTTTTGTTAATGTTATTGTTTTTTTTTTTGTTATATTTGTTATGATTGTGATATGCATACTGAAGGGTGATATATATTTAGCCAAATTGATGCATTGCTCAACATTCCTTTTTAATTTGTATTGTGGGAACATTAAAATACAAAATAAATTCACAGACTTTTCTTATAGTACCTACATTACAATGGTTACCTAGTGGTTGGAGCAATGGCTAGCATATCTGATGTTTCACTATCACATATTTGTGGTTGCCCTATAGTGCTATTCTTACTTCGTAAGTTAAGTTCTGTTTTTTTAATCTTCCAGTTATTGTCACAGAATGGGTCTCTGGCTAATGAAAACACTTGTTCAAACACTCCTACGATTGCATCTTTCACATGTAGGGTTCCACATGTGAACACCATCACTAATCCGTGTGGATCTATTCTTCCCTGTATACCTTCATTTGTGAAATTTGGATTGAAGTATAACTGGTGTTGTAACTTTAACGTTCGTAAAGCACTGCATATATCTTCTGGATTATCTTCAACTTCTTTCAGATCACAACCTTCATCAGTCACTATAGCTATTTTCAGTTTAGCATCAGCATAAAAATGTTCAGTACCAACTCCTTCATCAGAGTTTAACATAGTGTAAAACCACTTCGCAAACTGATCTGCCAATTGACTTATCACTTGTTCACTTTCACCTGGTGAAGTTTCTTTGACATCTGAGGAAACTGGCTCATCAAGAACTGTTTGAGATAGCGACTCGTTCCAATATTCGATTATCCTATCTATAAGATCGTTTTTACTGGCTGGGCTCTTGAATGATACATTGTTCTCATCAAGATATTGAAACAGTATTTCTTTTGTAACTATCTTTCTTCTCAAGATACTAACTAATGTAGGTGAATGCTTAAGTATTCCATTGACTGCCTCTAAAAGTTATTGAAAATTGAATTTGTATGATGCTAGTTTTATTTTATTTTACCATCAACTGAAGCAACCTTCAATAACCCCTGTGTGACTGTACTTGCTAAAGCAATAACATCATCTTCGTCTAGTTTTGAAAGTATGTCTTTTATTCCTTGGTGCGATTTTTGCAAATTTGCCATTACTAATGGTGAGCGAAATATATTTTGAAAATATATCCCATATCTGCGCGAATAGAAGTTAGGTTATAACAGTTCGCAAATTCTGTTTCGTTTATGCCGTGTGAAAAAAAAGAAAGGCAGGGTTTGCCAGTCAGATGATGAACCATTCTTTTGTTGATTGGTCAGATCCATATCAATTTTAGAAAAATCATCCCCTTCCTTTTGTTCTGTGCGTTGAGGCACAGAACAAATAATGTCAGTCAGCGTTGCCGGACTTACCGATTTTTCTGTATTTTTACGGGAAACGTCATTTTGTACGGTTTTTAAGATCATTTAGATCTTTCCAGATTTTTTAGTAAAAAGATCTAGAGCCAGAAATAAAGTTGAAAAAATGAGTTGTATGTCGTAGTCTATGTAATTTTATGGCCCATAGTGCGTATACTTAGGCAGTCGAGGGATGCACGCACATCACTTACTCAGCATTCCCTGTATGTATTGGTTTTTGTGCCTACAAGAGGTACAGACTGGTAGATTACCCTCATTATCTTATCACGGGGCAAGTAATAAGGAAACCAAAGCTCGTCTGTTTTTAATATTAAATCATAATGTCAAATAATGAGGTTTCAAGTTCAGGAATAAAACAACAAGATATACACATCTCATTGATCAAAATGGAAAAATGAGTTTCCAAGATGGTTGCAAAGGACTTTGAAGAGCAATCAGTATATGCAGTATAATAAAAGAGTTGGTTAATCCTTTGTGAAGAAAAGACGCTCTCAAAAAACCTATGTTATGTGCACGCGCAATACAGAAAAATGTTTTTTTCTTAGACGGCGCTGCGTGGCGCAAAGGCCCTTGCCTTGATCCGCTGGTGATCGTGCATTGTGCGACGGCAACGATTTAAGAATGACACTATCTACCGATTTCGGCTTTTTCGGTTTGGCAACACTGCTGTCGATGTCATCCTAACCTCAACCATTGTTTACTCTTAATTCCTAATCAAAACAACTGTCTATACTCTTTACAGAAAGGCTTTATCTAAAAATTCATAATAAATGTTACCAGGTATAGGGGTTTTTGGGACATCTCCAATTGTGAGAGTATTAGTACCCATTCTTCGAGAGAATGGGTTTCGAATCGAAGCAATATGGAGTCAAACTATTCAAGATGCAGAGGAACTTGCTAAAGAACTCAAAATACCGTTTGTTACTAACAAGATAGACGACGTTTTATTAAAGAAAGATGTAGACTTAATTTTTGTACTTTGCCCACCAATCTTACACGCACAGATCTCCGTCAAAGCCTTAGGAATTGGTAAACACGTAGTTTGTGATAAACCAGCTGGACTAACGCAAGCAGATGCTTTGAAAATGGTCAGAGCTGGCCAGTACTATCCATCTCTTATATCTCTCATCAACCATTCATTTAGATTTTTGCCTGCATTTGTACATATGAAAAAAGCACTCAAAGAAAACTATTTAGGCTCACCAATAACATTAATAGATATCCGCATACAAAGTGGTTGCCTTTTCTCAGAAGCTCATACTTTTGATTGGAGATGTGATGACAGCATGGGTGGAGGCACATTGAACTTGATTGGCAGTCATGTTATTGACCTCATAACATTTCTAACTGGACAGAAGGCAATTAAAGTCCATGGACTAATAAGGACTTTCACTAAAAACACAGAAGGCATAAATGGAATCAGAAGCATATCTGCACCAGACTTTTGTACCTTTCAGATGGAATTGCAGAATGGAATTCTAGTAACTGCTACATTGAATAGTCATACAGGAGGTAAGTTACCCTGAAGCTCAATAAGTTATCTAATACAGCTGATAAAACGTATCACGAACACATCTCGTGCCCTGGTATTTAGGCTTGTGTCTGCACACCTGCTTCGGCATAAAAATATTTTTTCGATATCCTATCAGTAGATTAATATGAATGTGTAGAATTAACATAATGATTTTTGTTAACTTAGGTAGTACTTTTCACCAAGAAGTGATGATATGTAGCAGTTCTGGGCACCTTGTGGTGAGAGGTGGTGACCTATTTGGTAGGAGAAATAAAGGAAATGAAGAGGTGATATATCTTGATGTTGAAGACTTGCAATGTCCTGTACCTAACAGCACTTTGCCCAAGATTTTTATCAAAGGAGTCTGTAAAATGGTATCTGGTAAGATATAATTGAACATAGGCCTCTCACCTGTATTGAGAAATTAGACACTTCATACAAGCTTACTTGTGAGGATTTGACATTTTATACCCACTGTAGTCTGTTGTGCTCTTATATTTTGTCTAATTCACTGAAAATGATGAGTTCCAGATTTGTAGGGTTTAATGTTCAAGTTATGTTGTTTCTAAATTTAGTTGTCAGTAGGATTTTAAATGGTAGGTAAATTGTTTGGCTTAACACGTTCGCTGCCACTGGCTTTTATAAGAGTCAACGCGAGATGTTCGCCGGTGCCGCTGACAAGGTACAATACTGCAGGCACACAAGAGCACAAATTAGTAAAACGTGATTTAGATGGTAAAAAACAAGTATCCAGAAAAAGATGCCAGTCTTGTAGCAAGAAGGGAATCCATACCCAAACAATGTATGAATGTAGAACATGCCCTGATGTTCCAGGATTCTGCTTGGAGTGCAGTGACATTATTCACAAATAATTTTTTGCACTAAAAATCGTCTGCATTCACCAAAAAATCATGTTTATATTCTAAAAAAAAAATTTGTTTCATTTCTTATTTTTGATTAGATCTTATCACATTAGGTGTATTATTTACCGGAAAAGTTTTTGTTATACTTTTATATGTTCTCTACTATTTTGAGTTACAAAAATTATTTTTAATATTTTATTTTTGTTAACGGTCGATAATAAATGTTTTTATTTTGCTTTTAGTTTATTTCTATTATAAAAAAACAAATAATTATCTTCCTACTCTTATAAGCGCCAGCTGGCACACAGGAAACCGATTTGTAAGTCAGTGCCGTCGACTCTTAGAAGAGCCACAAAAAATCTTCTAATTAAAAAACATTTTACGAAAATACCTCAATAACTGATTTTACGAAGTTATGCTACCAAAATAACAAATTAACCATTATACAACTAATTGGCTCCTGGGTAAAACCAACCGAAAAAATGTGGCAGTGAACGTGTTAAGGTACCCATATATACACTGAAAACCAAATACCACTGCCGTCGTAATCTGTACGAGAGAGAAGCGCGCAATTCGTGTGTTAGAAAGAGATCACCTCGTTGTCTAGTAACCCGAGTGACAATGTCATGGACGCCATCATCCCTCTCTTTCTGACATACATATTGGGCGCTTCTCTCTCGTACCCATTACGACGTCAGCCAAATTTGAACCCCACTGTATATGCTTCATCGTACTAATGTGAGTAATAATTTATAGAATTTTGTAGTTTATACCTATGCAAAATTTTCGTTGTTATTCACAAAAAAAATTGTTTTCAGGTCTAAGAGAAGCATTCTTACCTAACCATAAACAGAGTGGCTGGAATAAAGAACCAGTATCATCTGCAGCAAATTTTGAGGATGGCTTGTATGTCCAGGCAGTACTTAGTGCAATAAGACATTCATCAAAAACCAGACAATGGGTGAAAGTGAAAATTCTTACTGAGCAACCTGATACAAATGAGTTGTTAAGTGCTGTTGTGAGACGAACTGCTATTACAATATCATAATTACTTACATTCCTAAGTATTCAGTTATTATATTTATTATTGTTATGAAGTAGTACCACATACAATTATTTATATGATATTATTTTACAATTTAAAAACTAATAAAGATTTTTTTACTCATCAAGTGTAAATTTTTACACGTAATTTTCTCCAAAGCACAGTGATGAAAAATTGAGGGTACAAGAATTTTATCTAAATTTAATTTCCGCCAGCACCATTTGCAATGGATACCATCAAAAAACTTGAGATCTAATACCTATTTGTGTATCTAGGCTGAAGGTGAGTGCTCAAGGCCTGGTGCATGTATAATCGATTATTACGCCCGAGATCGATACTAAAAATGTTTATCTCCGATTGGCTATGTATTGCGTGCACGTGATATCAAAACTTAGATGACGCGCTTTAGACCCACGTTTAACTAACGCTCCCTTTTAAAATACAAGAAAGAAAACCGTATCAGTCGGCGTACTGAGATACTCTGCGTCTAATGGTGTCGTATGAGCGAACATTTTCTGACGCGGATTTCCATATGTAGCGCAGTATCGATTCTCTATTTTAAAAGCCAGGGTTGGTTTACGTGCGTGATTCATAGGGCAAGTTCAAAATTTACGCATCCTATAAGTGGTCATAAAATAAATGATTTGTACGCAGTAAAATACACCTCTAGGTGTCGGTAGTTGCAGCCATTGCCTAGTGACAAATAATTACGAACAGTTGTGTCGACGAGAATCGGTCATTTATAAATAGCGGGCGCTAGGGCGTAAATATACTCCCGTTGGTGAAAAAGTGGAACGCCCGAAAAACCTGTGCATAAAGCAGACTTTATGACCTGGTAATAGGATTTTATGAGATCTTTTCAAAAATAACAATAGCACATATAAAAAGAAACATTTATTTTACAAATATTATATCTTTCAACAGAAAGTACTTCCAAAATTACCGTAACATATCGCAAAATAATTGATTGGTAAAAATTATTAATCTAAACCTTCAATAACAAAGGCAATAATATCGAAACAAAAATAAATTGGTTAATATTTTACATCAATAACAATAAAAATGAAGTAAGCTTATATTTCCATGTTGACTTCATATAAAAAATGTATATATAATCAGGCCCATTGAAGTAGGATAATTATACCCAACTATTTCAAATCACAAGAACATCTAGTCATTTTACAAAGGTTTAAAAGTGCGCATATAGATCTAGGTTCTGGTATACATGAATATATCCAATATAAATATATGCTATGAAGAAAATATATAAGAAAAGAAAAGGTTTGCTAATGAAAAAATATTTTCATAGATTTAGACCAATGGCTAACAATTATATGTACAAAAAATCATTCTCCATTATTAAAACAGAGTCTTTCTCCAATACTATCCGTAGAGATGACCTGACTCCAGACTTAATTCAATGAGAGCAAAAATGGTCATAAAAATTACAAGTAAATGATAACACTAATTTTATACAATAATTTATAAATATAGCATATTAGAATCTTAAATAGCTATATTCATTTTGATGTATCTATGTAATTCAAATAGTTCATGCTTAAATCAAAAGTTATGTATTTACTGATATACAGTGTGGGCTCAGTTGGCAACTCTGTTATTACGTATGCCAACGAAAAGTTAATTATAAAAACGTGGTCAACAGCATGCTCGTTACGCGTAAAATATGTCTATCTCTACAAGGTAATTGATAGCTATGTGGTGACCTTGACATCCATTTTTAAATAGAAAGGCCCACATTTTATTGCAGATTTGAATAGGCCCTTTCATTGAAGCATTATGATTTAACATTCGTTGGATTGCCCAATATCTCAACAGTTCAGAAATGAAACCCTATATGGAGACTTTCCATTTAAGAAATGCATGTTTGGGTCATCACACATTTATTAATCACCCCATAGAAATAAAAATATTTGCTAAGTCAGGAGCATACTGTTGGCTACAGTATTTCTATTCAACTTTTTAGATACAATGCATAATAGAGTTATCGAAGGACCCCTCACTAAGAACTCAACATGTGGGTAATACTGAAATATTCACAAGCGAAATACCAACAAAACGTGTGACTGTGAGTTGCAGATGAAAGATTATGTATTTTTTATACAGATTCAAAATTCCTAGTAGCATAAACGCTCATTTATGCAAGCAAATTGTGTGACAGTATCACTCAGCGATGTTCAACATAAAGCAATTTTAAGCGATGAACCATGATGAACTGCGGTTATTATTGTTGCCCTTCTGTCATCTGTCACAGAAAAGACGATTACAAACATAATACAAATATCAGTAAATACTTTACTGTGATATTAAAAATGCACCGAATTACTTTTTCAATTCTGCAAAAAAAAAAAACAATGCATGACTCCATAATAATTCATTAGTTCTACGCCTATTGTCATCTGATACAGTTTTCTTTCACTGATAACCTTTACGGAAAATTATGAGTCACAAAGAATAAAAGAGTTATACATTCAGAACCGCATAGAAACCAGCACATGTGCAAGGTTGTTATTGGGCTTAACTATCAGTAACAGAAACGCCACAAAAGACCAGTTCGTGACGTCATCATTTGACAGCTGTTGCAAGCCGCGTCGCTTAAAATGAAGAAGTGAAAACCAGAGACGACCGGTTACGGTTGATAGATCACTTAAAATTGCTTATAGATTATTTTTCACGTCACATGTGACAGCAAATAACAGCTGACTATCTAGTGACATTCAAAATATCCCATATCTACAAGTGGTATACACTTATGAGGGATCTGCCAAGGCCAGGGTATTATGTAAAAAATGTCATCTTGCAGACTAGGTAGTTCTCAGTGTGCAAATAGTTCATTCCACGTTTGCTCGCTATGATAGCTGTGAGCGTCGTCAAAAGCGTAGGACATTCATCATTTGTTGCTTGTTGTTGTAGAAAGCCGGGTAGTCTGTAGTGTTTTTTCTCTAAGAAGATGTGACAGAAAGAAAGTCGGTTGAGTAGCAAGATTGCATCTGGATGATTATGTGTATTGGTCTGCATGTATATAAAATAAGCGATATTTGCTATGTGAGAAAATTATTATAGAATATGCTGCCAATGAAGCTGTGTCCGATGGGTTATTTATATGTTGTCCTTTCTGGAGAGACGTTATTCACGTCTGTAGCATATTTTTTCACCTGTTACGTCATCAGCCAGGGATTTTCTTTTCTTATCTCTCTCATTTTTAAAATTCAACAAATTTGCATATGTAATTTCTAAGTACATAATTGTATTTGAGACAAGAAACCAATGGAATTATCAGCAACTCAGATCAGCACAAAAATCCCGACTATGCACCTACGAACTGCCATTTCCTTCCAGCTATAATATACAACTTACAGCTCAGACCTCCAGTAATGCCATCTCTGAAGCAGATGTTACATCACATCAGAGCCAAATATTCAAAGCTGAAGCATCATGACGTTTAGGTAACATAGTACTGTTCACCACAAGTGTACAACAGTTAGTGCCAAGTTAACATCTTGTAGACAAACCAACCAACGTTATGCCACAAAAAGCTTACAAAATGCCACTTTTCAAGATACTAATACCCGTGCCGTATTTTGTTGTTTATTTGTACGCTACGAATCCATACTTTGCAACAACGCTTTTTTTATATAAAAGTTACTGCATAAAAAAAGGAAACAAAACGAAATAAGGCTGTTTATCATCACTGCTATATTTCAAGTCATGTAGGAATAAAACAATAAGCTGGAATATTTTAACCGCCTCTACTTTCTCAATACGACCCTGAATTTCACGTGAGTTTTACCCAATGAACTGTCAACACTGATGGAATCGCCCCGTCCCATTTGTACAATGAAACGATACGACAAAGAGGTCCGAGAGAGAGATGGAGCTAGTCAGGGCAAAAAGCGCGCGGACTAGAATGAATTGCATAGGAAACCGAGGATTCTTAGAGAAGATTTAAAAGTTATTCAGGCAACTGGAACGAGATAAAATCCTGGAAACGTAATTATAATTAAAAAACCAAGTTTATTTATTTATATATACATATGTATGAAACTTGACAATACATTCTCCTTTACACATGACTGAGCTGCAGATATTCTCTTCTCTTTAAGTAGTTCATCTACCAGACTATTCAGACTTTTTATTTTATTTCTTTGTCTACGAATTTTACACTGACTGTACTTGTTAATTTTTTTGTACTTATGAACAGTTTCATGAGCAGCAAAATCTCTTCCGACGCTGCACATTATTTAAATCAGAAATTTTGAAATCCCCAAAGTATACTGGTGATCTTCTGACCCTACAAACAAAAAGAGGTTGTAACAAATGAGAAACACAAAGTTCAATGACAATTACCTTAAATTGCATATGTTTGAAGGTTCACTTGATTCTAAAAATCCTAGTTTGTGTTACGTTTGACGGACCAGCTGCCAATATATTTCCATCATCAGCATGATCGCCATTTTCATGTTCTTCTACTACTTCACCAATATCCAAAGTTTGTTCTAAAAATAATTACGTAAAGTCGGCCACTCACGTACAGTTTCAACTGACAGTTTGAACTGTTCAGTGAAAACTGTGCAGTTAAACCTCAACGTGTGTGGGTGTGTCAGTCGCAGTTTAACTCAACTGGACAGTTAAACTGAGACAAATAAATTGTCAATTGTTTTAACTGAATGGTTCAACTGATCGTTGCGTGTGTGGGGGTTCGACTGCACAGTTCTCAGTTCAAGTTGTGTCTCAGCACCGTGCGGGTGGTTTTTTGAAGATGTCGCGGAATAAGCCAAACCCAGTGATCGTAGATTTTATTGCGATATACAGATCGGAACCTTGTCTTTGGCAAGTAAAGAGCCCGGAATATCATAATCGTACGAAGAAGGATGCTGCATATGCCAAATTGGCACAAAAGTTGGTGGAAGTTGAACCTGGTGCTGACAAGAAGTCTGTGATCAATAAAATTAACAGTTTGAGAACTGCTTTTCGGAAGGAGAAAAAGAAAGTTGATGCATCATACAAGTCTGGAACATCAACGGATAGCATTTACAAGCCGGTACTTTGGTATTATGACATGTTTGATTTTTTGCAAGATCAAGAGATTTCAAGGACCTCAATTTCAAATTTGGATGGTGAAAGTGGCGAGGTAAGAAAAACACGATATTATGAATACATGGAAAAACAAATTTTCTATTTATTTTTGTAAACATCAAATAATGTCTTTATTTGTTTTTTAAAATGTGATTCTTCTGCCATGGGACTTCGCCATCATTCATGAAGTAGTCCATAAAGCGTTGTCTGATTTCTTTTGCGTCATTGCCAATATTTCCTCGATTTTGACGATTTAGTGGAATCATATTTGATTGTGAACTATCGCACCCAATAGAAATAAGAGATCCATCGTTACTATTTTCTTGATACCTTAAGTTTGCAGGAGCGTATGTACTAGATTGATGTTCAATCAAAAAGTTATGTAAAGCACAAGCAGCCATTACAATTTTTTCTATATTTTCTGGTTCTAAATTAATTGGAGACTGAAAGATACGAAATCGTGAAGCAAGTATACCAAAAACGTTTTCGACAATATGTCTTGCTCGTGATAATCGATAGTTAAAAACCTCTTTGTCTGCTGAATCTAATAGTCCCTGCCTGAATGGTTTCAAAATATCAGTTCTGAGAGGAAACGCATCATCCGCAACGAATACATACGGAACGTTTTGGAAATTGTCACAAATATCATCAGGTTGGGGAATATTTAAATCCTCGTTCACCAGCTTCTCAAAGAAAGTTGTATTCTGAAGAACACCGCCATCGGAAGTCCGCCCATTTGTTCCAAAATCTGCTAGTAGGAATCGGTATTTTGCGTCAACTATAGCCAGAAGAACCATACTGTGTTTGCCTTTGTAATTATAATAATACGATCCAGAGTTTTGTGGCGGAATTATATCAATATGCTTCCCATCTAAGGCACCGATGCAGTGTGGGAAATGCCATCTTTCCTCAAACGAAGCTGCAATCTCCTTCCATTTTTCTCCTGAGTTGGGAAACTGAAACAGGCAACAATAGCTAAATATGTTATGTTAAAGTAAATTAGATGTTTTATTTTTTTTTTGTCAATCCTAGTACACAGTTGCTTCTATTTTTCAGGAATCCGTTGACAATGCACTCCCAACTGAAGAAACAGGAGAGGCTGATGATGTTGTAGAAATGAGAACTGCGGTTGTTGAAGAAGTGTCAAGAAAATCTCAACAGCCAATAACCTCAAGACCTGGTTGTAATAAAAAACAAAAGAAAAATGAGGATCTCACAACAGAAACCTTGATGACAGTGCGTGACCATTTCAAAACACCCAAGGAACAACTTGACCGCTTTGATCTGTTGGGAAAAACTATTGCTGTAAAGTTGAGAGGTTTGGAAAAACGCCAGGCTCTCATTGCGGAGAAAAAGATAGGTGACATATTATTCGAGGCGGAAATGGGTTCTCTAAACACAGCGCCAATATACCGTTATGCTGCATCACCAAGTCAGAGTCCTTATACTACCCCATGTCCCACGCCATCTCCAACATATGGACAAGGTTCATGTACAGCGTTAGCAAGTCAATCTCCTAATATCACTCCATGTCCCACGCCATCTCCAACATACGGCCAAGGTTCATTTAGACAGTTCCATAATGATGGAAGTGGACAATTATCCTTTTCTCAGGACAACACAGCATCGACTTATTTTTCTCAATTTGATGCCAATTCATGAAAATGTACCCTTTCATAAAAATAAAAGCAGTTTGCCAAAAACAACTGTTTTTCGTTTCTCTTATTCTAAATTAAGAAGAAAATACGTACCGCCATATACTTCTTTAAAACTGCGTACAAGGCGTTGCACGTTTCTGGGATAATTTTACCAAGACATTGAGGTGATATTCTAGTCGAGAATTTGAGACACTCATACGACCGTCCTGTTGCCAGAAATCTCAAGGTAGCAGTTAATCGTTCGTGTGGAGATATTGCTGCGCTCATAACTGTATCTTTCTTCTTAATCAAAGGAGAAACCAGCAAAAGCAACTTTTGATACACTGCTTCTGTCATGCGCAAATAATTAAGGAAATCTAATGGTTCCCCTCTCAATTCTTTTAATAAGCTGATGTCCGAAGATTGATTTCGTCTCTGTAACCACTTCTTGCACCACTGTTTACGCTTTTTACATTGTTTACTTTTTTGTAAAACTACACAAAGTATACCCAGAGCGGCCAAATCGTTCTGCTCTGTTCGATGCATTATTTAAAACTGATAGATTGACCTGTATGTGTGTGTGCAAACAGACTGAACAGTTTAACTGCACAGTTTTCACTGAACAGTTCAAACTGTCAGTTGAAACTGTACGTGAGTGGCCGACTTTACTAACGCCCGTATCGTCAGTCGCGTTTATGGCCTCCTTGATTGTCATACTCCTTTCTCTCCTTCAAACATTTCTAGATTGCACCCGTCCCGTGTCAGCGTCAGCGCTCTCCTATTGTGAAGATAACTTTTTTAAATTGTAGGAAATTTCAGGCTGATAAAACATGTTATAACTCAAAAGCAAGCACAATTTGATGCAAATAGATGTTTGTGACATAACCTCAAAATAGAGCGCTGACACGGAGAAGTAGAAAACTATGACAATCAAGGAGGCCATAAAGGCGCCCTACAATTGTAGGGACGACTGACGATACGGGCCTAAGACCCACTTCATCATTGTAAATATCTTTTTTAAAAGTAGAGAAGTTAAAACCTTAAGCTTAGACTGGGAATATTTTAAAGAACATACCTGTTGCTTTTGAGTTGGATTCTTCATGTTTTCTTTTCAAAACCCTTCGATGGCTAGGTTCTTTCTTGAGATGGGCTGGAAAATCAAACACAAATGGAACTGCCACCTTTTTTAGTACCTTATTTTCATGAACACTAACTTCATAATCCTCTGGAGTGAAATGCTTTTCACAAATTACCGTTGTTGTACTGGGAGTAAAGTGTTCTCTTCTTATAGCATGTAACCACAACTTCCTCATGTTAGGATCTCTAGGTATCCTAAAAATCCAGATATTTCCTCGAATTACCAATTAACAGGTAATTCTCACACAAAAATAAATGAGATGATTAAAACCAACCTGTGAAACTTCACATCTTTTCTGCGTCTATTGCAACAATTCACCGCACTGCAAGATTCAACCATTTCTAAACAAATATCACATAAAACAACAGCTGTTGAAGGCTGTCCGGCATAAAAATGTTTATAAAAATTGTCGCAAACTATCACTATTAATCTTTAACGTCACTAAAAACAAACATTCACCAAAAATCTTTAGAACATATATGGAAATACCACAATGGACCACGATGTTTTGCCAATGTTTTGCCCTGACTAGCGCTATCCTTCTCGTTTCTCATTATAGCCGCAATGAATTCGCGTTACGCCTGTTCCATCAGTGTTGACAGTTCATTGGTTTTACCCCATTCATGTATGTCAACAATACAGACTTTAACACAGATGTGTCTTCAGGATTAGATGTTCACCACATCAATGGACGTCAAAACGTAATGATGTACCGTGAAAAAGCCTTCTATACCCTATTCGTAGTCCATTTACGCACAACAAAGCGGCAGCCGCCTAAGCGTTGCAATAGCTATTGGTCATTCGGTCATAAAACTACGAACAAGTGCAGGATTCGACAAGATAGCACTCAGGTTCGAGGTATCGCCGGCACGCCGTGGCCGGCAGTTGCTGTTCATATTCGGTGCATATATAGCGTGTGTTTATACGTTAGCATGTCGTCTACGGACACAACAGATGAAACTGAGACTATTTCTCCCAATGCTTCATTTAGCCATGCTTCCTCTTCAGTGATGTCTCCTTCCAGAAAACGTGACAAGAAGGGACATTTGAATATTCTGTCAAAAAAAAATTGTCCTTAACGTTTATGAGAGCGAAATTTCAGATCATCCTGAAATGACAATTCATGGTATTGAAAGACGCAAGGAAAACAAAACAGGCTTATGTCCTAAGACGATTTTCAACATCGTTAAATAATATAAAAAAATGTGTCCACCACACAAGACCTCATTAAGTTTCCTAGTCATCTTACGGACAAATTACAACCCCTAGATAAGTGTGTTTTTAAGTCAGTTAAATATACATGGGATCGAAAGTAGGTAGCCTACGGTAAGAAGAGAATGGGGTAAGGCACTGGACGTCTATCTAAGGACAAATTTGTGGACCTTCTAAGTGAAACTTGACAGGAGGCTATGCTTTCACAAAATATCATATCTGGTTTTGAGACTACAGGTGTGTATCCTGTAAATAGACTGAAATTTCCTGAATCTGAGTTTAACCCAGAGCAGCTTCATTTTTATAAACAAAAGATACTTTCTTCCAGAGCTTCTGCGGAAAATACTTTTGATGAGGTTCAGCAAAATGCTAGTGAAGATATTATTGAATCATCCATGAATGAAGCCGGACCATCATCATCTAAAAGTAAAGTACAACAAACAGATGTAGCTGAATCTACCATATCAATGGCAGAGATAAACAAGTCTTCTTTAATTTCCCCATCTAAAGAAGCACTGGACCGTATATTTCATTTGGAAACAGAAAGAATAAAAAAACAACTTGAGCCAGAGATAGTTGCAGAAGTTGTTCCCGCAGAAAAAAAGTTGTACCTCGGCTAAAACAGATGGCCTACGGAGAAGTATTAACTGCTAACGAAGTTTTAAACAGAATGAAAGAACAAGAAGAGCTTAGAGCGCAGAAGGGAAAAATAAAAACAAATAAAGTTCGGAGTAATAAGTCGATCGATACTAATTTAGAAAATCTTGGAAAAATATCAAAAAACGTAAAAAGTCATCATCAGCATCAGATGCAAGTGAAACAGAAGTACAATATGCTGAGAGTGATGACAGCCCGTGGGATGAACAAGAAGAAGTAGAGTTACATGAACTAGAAGCTGCAGAAAGGCACAAACTCCAGCAAGGTAAATTTGTGTTGGTGGAATTTAAAGGTGGTAAGAGGATGACAACATCTTACAGATATCTCTGTGTGATTGAAGATATCGATTGGGATGAGGATGAAATTAAAATTGTAGCTCTGAAATGTATGGATAGTACCTGCAAACAATTTTCCATAAAACAAACTGACGTCAGTTTTGTCAAATTCGAACAAATTATTGGCATAACACCTGGGCCAAGTATTTTTCATGAAAGGTGAAAGAATGTTCTACAAGTTCCCTAATAAACTGGATATTTTTGAACGACAATAGATATAAGTTGTTAATATCTATTACGTTAACCTTTAACCGACGTCGTAGGTACCTGTGACCGCTGGCGATATTCGTTCCTAATTTTTCCACACTACTATCTGTCATTCACGCGTATCCGTCTTAATACCTTCCTATTAGTACAACAGCAGCGCTAGAGTAGTGTAGTCGTGTTTATTTGAGCGTTAGTTTTTTCGTAATAAATGAAAGCGGTCCATGGTACCTCACAGCGGCTTAAGTGTAGAGTGTCTGGGTGTGTACAACATTTTTGTATTGTTAACCTTTATAAACCCGAGCGGGGTGCAGTTGCACCCCAGACATCAATTTTTGGTGTTATTTTCTAAGATATTTTTTTTAATTTAATTTCCTTTGAGTTATGTTTCTAATATAGTATAAAAAATTTTAAACAATTTGTGATTTATTGTAACAAGTTATAGTGACTTTTGTTCCTTGGGGTGCAGCTGCACCCCGCTCGGTATGTAACTATAGGTAAATATTTTGCATACGCTGAATACTAACTGGGGTATAAATAAACCCAAATTTTTCAAACGACGGAGATTCCCCGTATCGTGACGGCAACACTGTCGGGGAATCCCAATAGCGGCTATGTATAACGTGTCCACGCAATTATCGCATTATAATCTTAGGTTTCGTGTGTGTCGTTACGTTTGTAGTGATTGTCGTCTACACGCTTATAAAAATGAGTGAACCACCGAAATTTCGAAATGAAAATAAGCTAACAGACGAAGAACTATTGGCGATATTAGAAACGGATATTTACGACCATTATTTTAATGATTCGATACTAGAAAATGGTTCAAGTGATATCGAAGAGACTGATATAGTGACTGAAACTAATGAGATAGATGATGTTTTGCAAGTTAGTGATAGTGAGAATGATTTGGCAGATTCTTCAGCTGTAGTTGGCAATCAATAACTTATACAGAAAATCCAACTTATACTTCTAAAGATGGTAGTGTGTGGGCAAAAGTTCCACTTACTGCGAGGTCAAAGAGAAGAAAATGTAATATACAAACTGGTCCAACAGGTTTGACGAGATATAGCTCCCAATTTTCCAGCATAAAAGAATCCTTTAACTATTTTTTTCACAAGATATTATGAATGTGATTTTATCGGAGACGAATAGAAAAGCCGAATCATATTATGCAAGAAATGGGAAGGCTTTTTCTCCTTTTGTGCAAGAGGAACTGGAAGCATTTATTGGTTTGCTTATTATTTTTGGAGCCTGGCATGCTGCTAAAGAGCCAATATGCGTATTATGGAGCCAAGACCCAACTTTATGTCGACCTTTGGTATCATCTACTATGTCTCGCAACAGATTCCAACAAATTATGTGCTTTCTAAGATTCGACAATTTTGAAACAAGAGAAGAAAGAAAACGCACTGATAAATTTGCCGCAATCAGAGATGTCTTTGATGTTTTTGTATCTAATTGCAATAAATCTTTAAATCCATCTGAACACTTGTGCGTGGATGAGCAGTTAGTTCCGTTCCGAGGCAGGGCTCCTTTTCGGGTTTACATGAAGAGTAAGCCGGACAAATATGGATTAAAAATTTGGGCCTTGGCTGATTGTAGTTTGGCGTATACAGTGAATATGCAAATTTATTTAGGTAAGCTATGTCCTAGAACATGCAGATATTATAGATTTTAAAATTTTAGGCAAAGAAGGAAACAAACCAGAGAAAGGTCAACGTCAAAGGGTAGTGTTAGACCTGGTAAACCATTTATCTACAGGATATGGGATAACTACTGATAACTTTTTTACCAGTATTGAGTTGGCCAATAAGCTCTTAGATAAAAACATTACCTTGTGTGGAACACTGCGTAAAAATAAACCTTATATTCCAAAAGAACTACTTCCAGCAAAATACAAGAAAGATTTTTCAAACATGTTTGCTTTTATGGAAAATAAAACATTAGTTTCTTACGTACCAAAGAAAAATGCGGCAGTTATCCTTTTATCAACAGAACATAACGATGACAGAATAAGTGGAGAGGAATGTGACTATAAACCGGACATCATTTTACACTACAACAAAACTAAGGGTGCAGTAGATACAACAGATAAATTGGCAAAGGAATTTACCACTCAAAGAAAAAGTAATCGATGGCCGATGGTAATATTTTTTCATCTGCTGGATATTGGTGGCATCAACGCCTATAAACTATGGATGTTGAAAAATCCAGATTGGAAAAAAAATCGTTTAGATAGGAGAAGAATGTTTCTGTTGGAGTTGGGCCAAGAATTAATTAAGAAGAATATAATTCGTAGATACCATAATGACAAGTCGTTACATTCCAATATAAAACAATCCATATTAACAATTTTGCCAGAATTAAATATTGTAAGGAATGAACCACCTGCTCCCGCTATTCGGAGACAGCAGCGATGTTTTTTATGCGACAGAAGTAAAGACAGGAAATCTCGAAAGTTTTGTATTCGGTGTAATCAGTACGTATGTGCAGAACATTCTAAAAATATAACCGTTTGTAATAAGTGTGATAATTAAATTATTATTTAAAATATCACATATTTATCTTCTTCTTAATTATCTTTCTTTATATTATAATCATTTCAAATTATTTTTTCCAAATGTGTTTGTTTATCAATGTTATAGCATACTTATGTAAAAATATATATTTTTTATAATCAGAATGTGTTTATTTTTTGAAAATCTTTAATTACAGTAATTAAATAAGCCAGAAAAACGTTGGGGTACATTTGCACCCCACTCGGTATTTAACGTAAATTTCTGACCACGGGTTTATGAAGGTTAATAAAAATGGCTTCTGGACGCGTTCCCGACAGTGTAAACTTTGCTGACCCCGATTTCGAAGCCAAGGTCATGCGCATGCTGGAATCACTAGACTCAGATGTGGAAATGTCCGACCAAGATGAAGATTACGTTGAAGACAGTGAACATGATACCGATTCCGAATTAGATCTAGAACCGAATGAAGAGTTTGATCCATCCAATAATCAATCAGTACAAGTGAGTGACAACGACTCATCGGATAACGAAAACCCAAATTATTATTATGGTAAAAACCGTTTTAAATGGTCTTATACCGAACCAAAACGAAATATCCGAACTCCAGCACATATTTTAAAATTACCTGGAATTCGTGTTCCGCAAAATGAAAATGAAGTGTTTGATCCAGTTTTTGCTTGGAACTATATTTTCAACGAGAACATGTTGCAGTGCGTTCTAACATGGACAAATCAAAAGCTGATGCAAATAAGAGCCAAATATTCCAATCCCCGTCGCACTGAGCTACGAGAATTAACAATTACTGAACTAAAATGCTTCTTGGGCCTTCTCTGTTATACGGTGGTATTCAAATCCAACCATGAGGATATTTCTTCAATTTTCGCCACAGACGGGACGGGTCGAGAAATCTTTAGGTTAGCAATGTCAGAAAGACGCTTTTCAATATTATTGACCTGTCTACGATTCGATAATGCCGAAGATCGAAACGAACGTAAACAAGTTGATCCAGTAGCTGCTATATCCGAATTGCTGGATAGTTTTAACAGAAATTCGCAGGCTGCATATACTCTTGGAGTAAACACTACAATCGATGAAATGCTAGTAGCTTTTCGAGGACGTTGCGGCTTTAAAATGTATATGCCATCCAAACCATCAAAATATGGTCTAAAAATACAATGTCTAGCTGATGCACGAACCTGTTATGTTTATAATACCTATTTATACTATGGTAAAGGAAGTGATGGTATGTACCTATCTGAAGAAGACAAAAAGTTTAATATTCCTACACAAGCCGTTATTCGATTGTGCAAACCCATCTTTGGCAGCAACAGAAACGTAACGACTGATAACTGGTATACGTCATTGGAGCTTGCGAACGTATTGAACACAAACAAACTTACTCTTGTTGGGACAATTAAAAAAAAGGAAATTCCGCCAGAGTTCTTACCATCTGCAAGGCCAGTTGACTCCTGTTTATTTGGGTTTACAAAAAACTTTACAATGGTATCTTGTTCCGAAAAAAAATTAGTCCGTCATTTTGCTGTCATCAATGCACCATGCAAGAGAAATTGACGAAAGTACTAAAAAACTAGAGATTGTGATGTACTACAATAACACAAAAGGAGGAGTGGACTCAGTCGACCAAAATGTACTGTTTATTCAACTAGTCGCCGCTGCAGACGCTGGCCCATGGTCATCTTTTACAGAATACTAGATATGAGCTTCCTGAATGCATATATTATTCATCAATCCCATAGAAACATTAAAAAATCTTACACCAGGTTGGAATTTCTAAAAGTCTTAGCTAAACAATTAGTTCAACCATACATGAACGAAAGGTTGCAAAACGGAAGACTACCATATGAACTGAGATCTTCAATTGCACGAGCTTAGGGAAATCAAGATGTTCCGCCACAAGAAGACCATGGTGTCGACAAGTTGGCCAGGAACGAAAGAAAAACGTGCCACATCTGTCCCTCAAAGAGGAAAAGAAAAACCCTATATGTTGTAGCTGTGTTAGTAAAGACTAGGTGTTCTTATAAAGTAATTTGTAGATTACAGTAAATTCTGTTATTTTTTGCTCTGCACGTTTTTTTCTTTTGGATGTTATAGAGCTTATATTTGTGCAAAATAGTTCTTTAGGGTGTAGTATTTCTTAATATGATAAATAATTTTCAGTTTTAATGTTCTTTAGTCATTTATAACTACAATAAATAAGGTTGGTAAATTAATATACACAAAACTGTATGCTATAAAAGTTAAAAATAAATGTATATTCCAAGAAAATAGTCTTTCTTAAAACAGTCACCGAAAATATATTTTTTTTATTTTGCGGTCCCACGGACCACTCGACGGCGGTTGTGCACAAAATAGTCACGACGTTCCAATTTAATAATAGAATTTTCAAGATTATCTAGTTTTTATTTTATTCAGGGGGTGATTGGAAAGATTGGTATGTTCAGTGATAAAACCTAATACAATATTAAAACTATTACTCCTGTCTGTTTTATGTTATCTCTAATAGGTGTGAAGATCCTTGTTTCCTTTTACCCCCTTTTTCACTTTTTTCTCAAATTTTCTGGGGTAAATGGAAACTTAGATTAACTTTTTTGTGTGTGTCATTTGATCACAGTTCTAAGACATTCTACTATAGATTTATCATATAGTAGCCAACAACTTTTATTTTATTATAATATGACATGGTAGATTTTTTATAAAATTTCAAATGCTAAGATGTAGTGAAATATCAAATATTGTTTCCAATTACCCACATTGACCCTATTACAGGAGGATAATAGTGATAAAGACTTACCTACTTTCAAAAGGACCACATTCTATAGTTTACTCAAAGTACTTCATTTTGAATATAGGAAACGGGGCAGAAATAGTATTTTGATGGACAGCCAAGAGATTATTTTATTGAGAAGAAATTATTTAAAATCAATAAAGAAATACCGCGACCAGGGCAGGAAGATTTATTACTTGGATGAAACCTGGATAAATGCAGGACATACAAAACCTAAAGGATGGGCTGACTCTATGAATAAATCAGCAAGACAAGCCTTCTTAGACGGACTAACCACTGGCCTAAAGAATCCGTCAGGTGTGTTGTAAAAATGGTGTCAAGTAGACTGAATCTATGAGCCCACTAAACTTAGCTATTTCTGGTAGATTTGGAACCAACACCTGTTAGATAACCTGCTTGTATTATTATTAATTTTCTTGAATGCTATATGAAAAATGACAACGATTTGTTATCTGTCACATGGGCAGTGAAGATGGCTTTGTGCCCACTGCTCTATTTGAAAGAAAACGAGTGACTACCATTAAGGAATGGACGCGAGTTCATTTGAACGATGGCTTGAAGAAACGCTCCCAAAACTTGACAACAATGCCGTCATTGTACTTAATAATGCTGCATACCACACTAGAAAACGAGAAAAAATTCCCACAATGTCCACAAGAAATGAAAATATGGTCAAAGCAGAACTTGCTCATCTAGTCAGGTAGCACAAATATAATCTTAATGTTACTGACAATATGGCAATAAGATCGTTTTAAGGCTACCCCTTTATCACTGCGACTTAAATCCCATTGAAATGATTTGGGCAAATATAAAAAACTATGGGGCTTCAAACAATGGAGAACATTGAAATTTTCTGACGTGAAAAATTTGTTTTATGAAGCTTTCAACAGAGTGACGGCAAATCGTTGGAAATATTGCGTCAGGAGACAATCGAAACAAAGATGTGGGATCTGGACAATATGATCGATATTCAAATTGAACCTGTAATAATTAATATTAACCATTCGGACGATGATTCAATTACTTCCAGTGAATAAGGAATTGTGAAAAGTATGTGCACTTCTTTCTATAAAAATAATCATTTATCTTGTTATATTATTCCAAGACCATTGAGGAAAATATGGACCTGTAGAATCTCGCTTTTGGGCATGTTGTGTTTTGTCTGGGCGTAAATGGACTACGAATGGGGTATACGTTTATCTTTCTAACCCCTTTATCGGACATCGTTAAGCGCGCTTTTGTGGACATGATTAGTGACACGCGACGATGTCACTCAACAACGGTCGACAATGACGTCAAAAAGAGATAGCCGCATGTCAAGCATTGTCGAACTGACACTGTCTAACTGTCACGAGCATAAATGGGTTCCTAGTGCGCGATTTAAATGGGCGCGCGATTTGAGTGACAATTTTGTCTTACATGTCTCTTTCTCATAATTGGATAAAAAAAGTGTCGGTCAAGTCAGTAGTGAGATCAGAGTTTTGAAAGTTATGATAATTGCTTCGTATAACGAAACCTATCTCAATCAATCAAAATATTCAGTCGAAAGATTTAGATCTAGTTGATCATAAAACGCATACAGCATACGGTTCCACCTCAAACGTTTGCTTCAGCATTGCACTGAATATCAGTTCAACGTTACAGACGATTTGCATTTTATCTTTTTATTCTTTAGTAGATCTGCTACCAAATGCAGATCGTTTTCATGTGTGATTATGAAATAGCTGAATGGAGAATTAATACTCGTTGCTTCAATCTGAGCTGAACTACGTCTTAGCCTTTCCACTATACCACCACAACTTTGGATTAGCTCAGTGACCACCTGGAATAACAAATATAATCAGTACGATGCCTTGAGGTAAAAAAATTAGATGCTTAAGATGCTTACAACCTCCAGAGTGTCCAATAATCAAACCGACATTTGAGTTTTGACATGGTATTTTGCAGCACCAACTATAAGTTGCACTAAACAGGCCCTTATTTAAAAAAGAAAATGCAGATCTAAAGGAGAATCATAGACCTAATCGAGCTGTATTTACTTATAATTAGAAATATAGGTTGATTTATTCCATTTATTCACACAGAAAATGAGTTTTCGTTTAGATCACAGATACATGTATAAGCCTCTAAAAATATACTCTTCCAAAATATCAAAGGAAACGCGTTACACCTAGGTAGGCACTGATTCCTAATAAGGTCATAGAAAAATTCTGGTTTATCAAGTATATTTTTTTAGATACCTTTTTGCTGGGAATAACGCTAGGCGTGACCCAAAAGAACTTTCCCTCCAACAGTTTGCATCTATTTCGGGTCTGCAATGTCTGATCAAAATCACATTTGTACATCATATTGAATTCCTTGGCACTCAAGGTATAATTTTCCTCTGGCAAGAACTTTTTAGCCTCATACGAGTCTCTCAGCCACTGTTCAGAAACTATATGTGCTTCCTTAGCGATAGCAAAGAACAGTTTGTTCGATCGTGCCAAGTATGGCATCACAAGATGTGTAAAACTGGTATGGTCCTTCGCTACTGAGCCGCCAATTTCCCTGCAATTTGATTTTTTCGTTAGAGTATGAAAAAAGTTTTCCGAATCATCACTGATTGGACCTCGAACGTTTGCAATTTTTTTGTTACGTCATATTGCTGTGTGTTATTTGATAGCAGTTTATTGGTCTTTTACAAAATTTGTTTACACACGTCAAATGTTGGGTGAAAAAAAATACAATTGAAAATTTTACAATGTACACTATTCAAAAAAATTAAGAGATTAATATAAAAATTTTGCGGTTATTTTTCAGAGGCTATATTTCGGTGAAAATGGTAGTATCTAGACATTAAAATATGCATTTTGAAGCTTTAAGATTATGGTTTTTAAGTTTTTTAGCGGGCAAATTTTAGGAGCAATGGTTCTCATTTGATTTTAACAGATAACACAAGAAACATTTTTTGAATAATTTTTGCCACGTTTTTAGTCACAGCTTTGAATTTTATTTGATGATTATAAATTGAAGATACCTAACGTAACGCTCTATTTCAGCGTCCGAAACATTCTTCGAGATGAATTGTAGGGTCATCTATGGAGCTGTTTCTCCTCTCTGAAATTTATGTGACATCCACCTTTTCAAAGTAGATTTATAATTATTGCAGAGAGGAGTAACATGACCGTGACAAATTCTCATAGATGGCGTCATAGTATCTCATTTCATCTCGGATGATTTTTTGGATGCCGGGATTCTGAATATAGTATAAGATTAGCTATTGCAGGTAGGATATTCCAATGAATGCAGAAACGAAACATGAAATTATATATCAGTATAGTTTGAACCAATAGCTAATGTCCAGACTTGACAGATGAGCAGCACCTTTAAAATGTACTTTTCGAGAATTATTTTAGCGCTTTTAAGTATCAATTAGTATTTGTGGACATGAAAATTTTGACTATAAGAATGTCTCCGTGTTGTGGTGTGCGGTGTTGTCAAGTGCAACAGTAACACAGCCAAACAATAATGCTCAATAGTCTAATCATATTAGACGAAAATACCCCTGGTTTGCGAAATAATTGTAAAGTCTGGTTTTATTAATGCAAGTTGTACGAGGGGGTATTTAAAACATGGATGGATCCATAAAATGGGTACACCAATTTTTATGGGAAATCTTTTTATTCGACAACAAAGACTGAGAAAACCTGTTTTTAGGGATTCAATCGAAAGTGTTGGCAGTAACGAAAAAATCTCTTTTAATAAGATTTTTAGGTATTTATGAAATCTACAAAATGAGATCAAACTTAAGAAGATCCGACTAATAGTAAAAAAGTTATGGCCGTAACCCGAGGCAAAATGCAGGTTTTGGCACTTGTTGCTAATGCGACGATAATTTCGCGCAGCTACTTAGAATTTTTCAAATCCGTATGCTTCATACTTCTAAATAACCACAACAAAATTGGCGTCGATTGGTCAAGGAGTTTTTGAGAATTTCTAATTGTTTATCCCAAACTACTTGTCTTGCAGCAATCACGACTAGTTTAAAGACCAATATACAGGTTTCGTTCAAAGGGCATCTCATACCAAAATACATAAATTTACCTTGCCGACGTGAATCTCAAACCATTCCGTGGTTATTTTTATGCAAAAACGAAATGTTGCGCTTTTTTCTTTTAAACAAATTCAAATGTGAGTAAATGAACAGATTCGCTACGATATTCGGAAAACATACATTATTAAACACATTTTAAAACAAAGCGGATGTATGTGTCTATCACCTTTTGTTACGAAGAAAACATTTTTTTCAAGATTTCTTCATTCTCTTGTGTATACATTAGAGCTGAAATTTGTACACGGTCACAGATGATCCTTGAAGTTTATAAAAAAACCAGACTTAAATGCACTGAACTGTTTATAAAGTTAGCACGCAAACTGAAGACACAATTATGTTTCAAAATGTCTTAGACTAGTTACTATCTTGCTCAGTAAACTAGTAGTGATGGCAGGAAGTATTTTAAGATAAACAATCAGAAATTCTCAAAAACTACTTGACCAATCGACTTTAATTTTGTTGTGGTTATTTAGAAGTATGAAGCCTACCAGTGGCGACGCGTGACTTTTCCTAAACTGTTACCAAAAAAAAGTTAATTTTGAACCTCCCAAATATAAGGTTTTGGTTATTTTATGTATTTTATTTAAACTATTTTTAAATTAAGGTAAACATTCCTGTACTGAGCGTCTGGGGTACTTGATATACCTCATCGTCTTATGCTATGACTAATCCAAGCCGTCCGAAAAAACAGTCGACGTTTCTAGATGTTCGGAAAATTCTTGATCTTTTTTGGCAATGAATGTTAATAATTCCCTGTAATTTCCTCTATTGTCAGAGTCATCCACTTCAAAATGAACGGAAATTCCTGTTTTGCCAAAAAACATACGGTATCTATAAGTGTGCTGCCTAAAACCTTGGTTAAGACAACTTTCGATTCTTGTCTTGCCAAACTGAATTAAATTGGCTACACATCTCACATGTAGCGGAGAAATTTCATGTCTCCTCTTTAGAGCCCTAAAACTATTTAAATCGTTGACTTCGCTGCTGGTCCACCCATTTGTTTCTGTATAAAACAGAAGACATCGCCAACAATACAATCTGTTTTTTTGCAACCACATAACCAAGAGTTTCCATATAACAACTTAATTTAAAATATCAAACTACGTTTTTTATTCGATTTTAAAATTATCTAAAATAGGTGTTGGTCTTCCATTTTCAATGATCCCCTCTTTTCTTAAAAATTATACAAGGAAAATAACTTTTCAAGTAGTTGATCGATTACGCAGCGACAACCATCCATCTTTAATTGCACGCACACTACAGCCGGTAACCAAAACGGCTACTGACGAGTGAGAAGTGAGTAACCAAATCAAAAAATGGTAACACGCCCACATAATAGTCGCAGGGCCCCACGCACTCGGGTGGCCGCGATCAGACACGAACCGGTACCGGCACTCCCCGACGGACTACTATCCATAAATGAAAATGGTATCGGTGGTAACAACCGACCACCAAGTCGAGGCAAGTCAGCTTCATCGTATTCGCAAAACCTAGACACTATAGGGCGCATTATTTTGCGTGGGGCTAATTTGCTATTTACTGAATTACTATTACTTATCGCTGTTGATAAACAAATAAAAGAAATTATTTCACAGTACTTAGTCATAAAATATTTATTTTTAAGATTTTTAACTGTTACCAATGGTAACAATGGTTACATGGACGCTTCGCCACTGAAGCCTACGGATTTTAAGAGTTTCAAGTAACTGCGTGAAATTATCGTCGCGTTAGCAACAAGTGCCAAAACGTGCATTTCGCCTTCGGTTTTCGGCCATAACTTTTTTACTATTAGTCGGATCTCTTTACGTGTGGTCTCATTTTGTAGGTCTCATAAATACCTAAAAATCTTATTTGAAGAGTTATCTTGTTCCTGCCAACACTTTCCATAGAATCTCAAAAAACACGTTTTCTCATTCTTTGTTGGCGAATAAAAAGCATTCCCACAAAAACTGGTATACCCCTTAGGACAATTTGCATCAATAAAACCCGACTTTACAATTATTTCGGGGAAATTTGCTAATACGCGTATGATTAGACTACAAGCATTGATAATTACTTATATCATGACGCCAGCACGTACAAAACAAGTCAATAACAACAAAAAAAAGCTTCAAAAACACAAAATGAACGACTCTACACGAAGCATACGAAATATAAGGTTATATTTCAAACCAGTATGGAAGTCCAGCTGTCAACTCTGGACATCACTTATGCTGTTAGCTTACCTAACCATTTTCCCCAATTCATTATCATGATGAAACATAGAAAATAGAATGTTATGCGTCGAGCTGGTAACTTGCTCTTGACTTATGTTACCATTCTCATCAGTCGTTTCTGTCTTTGCTTTTTTATATTTTTTCGGTAACATCACTGGCGATGCAGATCTTTTTACTCTCTCGTAAGACTCTTGAGATATATTTATTGGTGCTTTCCATGCCACTAAAATACGATGTTTGTTAATCAACTGATGGTAAATCAATGATTGAATGTACTTACTCATCAAATTAGGAACCAGCTTTGGATCAAAGCTAAAGTTTGGTGGATTGGGATACTGTTGGTATATTTGATTTTCCATCTGATTCATAGCTGTGAAATGTCCCAACATGATGTCGGTAAGCCACTGTACATTCACCACGGGTATTTGCCATTTTTTCGCGTACTGGCATTTTTTTGAGTCCGCTTTTGCAGAGATCAGCAGCGTATTGTGTTTGGAGAAATACGTTGTACACTGAAAATGTATTAACAATTAGTATCTCTAAGTAGATATATTGATATACAGGGTGTCCGCAAAGTTGGGGTTTTTCTTTTCAGAAACAACTACCCTTGAAATAACAAAGGTAATGTGTAGTGAAACGAGGGCGACCAAGTAAAAAAAAATAAAGAAAAAAGAACTCACTCTCCAGTTGACGAGAAGGGCTAAGTACGTCTCTGCCCGAAATCATACCTCTCCAACATAAAATGAAATCAGCTGATGCGCTACCGAGAAGACGCCGGCGGTGGTGCAGACCAGTAAACCACGAACGGAGGTAACAAATATGACCATCGTGCAGAAACCACATTGATTGTCTTACACTTAATGGCACATCTTCTAACAAGGAAGGCAAAATGTTGCGTAAAAAGTCTAGGTATTGCATCCCGTCCAATCGATTTGGGAGAATAAATGGTCCAATGAGCATACCGTTCACCATGCCAGCCCAAAGATTCACCAAAAATGTTTGTTGAAAATGTGCCCGACGGACAGCGTGAGGATTTTCTACTGACCAAACATGAGTGTTGTGAAAGTTATTCACCCCATTACACGTGAACGTAGATTCGTCTGTCACCAATATGCACTTCAAAAAGTCCGGATTATTGTCATGTTGATGCAACAACCACTCACAAAACCGCACTCTTGCTGGAAAATCGTCAGGTTGAAGGGCTTGTACACGTTGGACGTGAAACGGATACAGGCCCTCTTCACGCAGCGTTTGCCACACTTTAGTTTTTGATACTTGCACTTCTCTAGCCACGTCTCTAGTGCTTGTTATTTTTTGAAATGCAATCGATTATACGGGTTCGTTTACCTCTACACGCGTGACTGTAACCGTCGGTTGAAGGTTGCATACTGACCTGACACACTGACCCCGACCCCCGACCCTGTTCTGTTGTCGGGTTGAGCTAGTATCCTAGTACCAGTTGGGAATGTCGCGAGTCGCGGCTACAGGACGTTATTCAGATATTTTTGATGTTGCAGAGCCCTTTATCTCGGTCCCCTTAAGACATTGGTGTATATGGTACTAAGAAAAATTGCTTATGTTTTCAAGATCTACACGTCGTGTAAAGGAAAACCCCAACTTTGCGGACACCCTGTATATCATATATATTCTAGATTTCGAATAAATATTATTATTATTATACCCAAATGTTCTGAAATTTCATACCTTTGCACCCGTGTATTTGATCATCTGCTTAACCCTGTTTCTATCATTTCCCTCGAATCCACTGATTGCAATTAGATGTTTAGATGCAGGAGCAATATCTAAATAGATATTAGGAAGATGCAACGCAGTCCATGGCGGTAAAACTTGCTTCCTTTGCATGACGTCGTTCAACCACACAACAGTGACACACCTTTTGCAATCACGCAGCGCCTGCATGACAACACCGTGGCGTTGAGTCTCGCATAAAACATGCGTAACTCGGCTACAATACTGTTTTTCTATCTCACCTAGAAAACAAATGGTAGATGTTAATATGGAGCAAAATAGAGCAATATAATTTATACTCACCTCCGTGTTTTTCAATTTTCTGTCTCCAACCTGGAGCATTTTCCTCCAGGAAGTTTTCCACTTCTACTACCACAAATATGCAACCCAATAGGAACAGGTCAGGTGGTACTAAAAAAAGTAGTTTCTAGAATTCCATTCCAAGTGAAGGCAGGTATCAAGTAATAGCATGTTTGAAAGGTCGATTCGGTTTGGAGAAAATTAGAAAAATCTTCATTTATTTTATTTGTTCAGATAGAAAAGAAAAACACGAAAATATTACTTTTTATTTCAATAAGTGTTAAAAATGTTGCCCGATAGGATTTGCCAAATCTACAATTCGTTTATAATTTAAAACGGAAACTACCAACATAAACAGCAATTCGGAAGATTAGACGTGGCAACAACCAAATAACAACCAGAATTTTTTTCCGCATTATTTTCATCAACACAGATATCCAGGACGAACTGTATTTATTGTTATACCTGCTAAGTTATTTGTTGCTAAGGAGAAGAAATAATTTAATTTGCTGTCAGTTACCTTTGTGACAATCTTGAGATAGTGAAAATTAATTTATTGATTCCGATTTTACTTCCAAAATGTTTTACACACTAAATGATTCTAACTTATAGTGTCCAAAATCAATGTGCTCGGCAAACTGCCGTCACGTTTAACGCCAGACATCCGGAGAAGATAACTTCGCATAGGTATGTTTTGGACCTTGTTACTAAATTTTCTCAAACTGGATCTGTTGCATATAAAAAACGTGATCATCGGAGAGTTTTGGATGACGTCGCTCAAGTTGAAGTTTTGGGCCACTTTGTAATAAATGCTAATACTTCATTAAGCAAAAAAATTAATGTATGGGCAGGCATTTTAGGAAACAAAGTGATAGGGCCATTGTTTATTAATGGATATTTGAATGGAGACATTTAATTGAATATGTTGGAAAATACCATCAGTCTGCTTATCACTGAAACCATTGAAAACCAAATCGAAGAGGATATTCTTGATGAGGCTGAAATATTCCACCATGACGGCGCTTCCGGTTCGGCAATGGCTAGACGACGAGTTTCCAGATAAATGGATAGGGCGAACTCGGCCTATAGGATGACCTGCTAGATTTCTTGATTTGACGCCATTAGAGTTTCTTTCTATGGGACCATTTGAAATCTACTGAACCTGAAAGTTTGGATGAACTTCGTCAACGCATCATCGAAAGCTGCCATGTATCCAACAACATGTTTTTGAAAATGTCCGTCAGGAATTTGAACATCGCCTATATCAATGTTTGGCCAATAACGGGCAATATTCTGAACATTTAATGATATAAAAGTGATGTTTTCGTTTGTTTTTGTTTTTTATCTGAAGAAATTAAGATAAATAAAGATTTTTCAAATTTTCTTGAAAGGGGGTGAAGTAGTTTTTGGTTAAACAGTTGCCTCCCTTGACAAATGTTTTGACCTGTATCGGCGTTTTTTCTTTTAATCACTGGTTTTACATAAATCCGTGGTGGGAAGTTTTCAAATGAACACCCTGTATGTAGAAAACACTCTATACTGTTTGTTTTTTCGTTAATATATAGTGTGTTGGAACAACAGCCTGAATGGTAAGATGGTACCGCTCAAAGCCAACAAAGCCAGAGCTCAGAATCAGGTCAGGTTATGTTCAGACAAAATTTCCTTTTTTCATTTGCAATATAACAATGAGAATTTTCTTTGGAAATTTTGACTTGGCCTTGAACGTCATGGCCAAGGTCATCTTTGGGTGATCCCCCACGGCTGTGCTGACGAAACATTTTCGCTAGAGCTAGATGTCCCGATTTGACCTTGAAGGCAATGGTCAAGGCCATCGAAAATAATGTTCAGGCGTAAAGTTTGCTCCTCTTTTCAATTCCGATGTGAAAAAGAGGGTTCCATTTGGAAATATTCACTTGAAACTGAAATTACTTTAAAGGACGTAGCCACTATCATTTTTCTGCATCAAAAAAGCTACCTACTTTTGTTTGAAACTGTTTTTCGAAAATGCGCACTTTTCGAAATATTTAGGTAGGGAGGTTAAAATAGGACACCATTCGGCCCATCCACATAAGGATGTTGATGGGATCGGAGAATAATGAGCCTTTGCCAGAAGGTCATAATCGCCATTGATGCAGTTCGTGTTTGGCACACAGGTAGTTGCGTAGATTGATCCGATAACTAAAACTCGACTTGAATGGGAACACTTGGTGTGTGATTTTGACATTCAAGCAATGGTTTATCAGCACCTGTTTTCCCTTTGATATCAGAATTTAAGGATGCAACGTTAGATCAAAAATGTTCAAAGTTTGCAGACATATCCACCTCCTCTACCTGATAACATTATAGGATCATTTTTCATAAACTGAGTTAGAATAAGATCATCTATACAACTTTTCAGTTATATAAATATTATGATCATGAAACTTAAAAATGTGTACTTGTATGGAGTTAAACACTACAGAAATTCTATGCTTTACTTTAGTACTTTATCTTTCTTCAATGTTGTACGTTTGAGTCTTGACTAAGCTGAATAATATCTTAAGGTAACACTCCGGAATTTCGACTCTGATTTTAAATTGTAGTGCCTCACCTTACTCAAAATGAGAATTTATGTAGGTGAATCGAATAAATGCATGCTATTCTTATTACTATATTATATTCATACTTTTCAATATTTTTAAATCATGTTCTTTAAGGAGTGTGAATCCCTTTGTGGTTGACATACTTACACTTCAGGTTTGGATTATGCCCATAAAATGGTCCTGGCCTGTGTTGCAAAGGCAAGGAAGGTTTTTGAGTAAACTGCAACTTTGGCGGTTCACTACTTGCTGATAATGGTAACTGCTGTGTCTTTATTATCTCCCCATTAGGCCCAGAAATAGTTCTACGTTGCAATGCAATTATTTCTTGGGGTTTGGAGTTCAACGCAGCATTATGCTGAGCAGTCATAAGCCTGCAAGGAAATGACATATTTTATTATCTAGAGCTACGTAAAATTATTAAAACGAAATACACGGTGTGCCGCATAAATAATGGTTAAAATTAGTTGCACCTAGCTGCTACGAGCTAGTGCTGTGTAGTTGCTGAATATGACTTACTGTCTACTGGATCTGCTAACATCTAGCACATTTCAGAACAACTTGTTTCAAATATGTGTTTTAGGCAATTTTAAAAAATTATACAAGTAAAACGAACGCTATAATAATAAAAAACAAGGTAGAAATGATGAAATGTTGATGGTGAAGATAGTGAATTCATAGAAAATTTTAAATATGGTTTTTGTTGACCCTTAAACTTTGATATTCATTATGAGAAAATTATAAACAAGATTAGTAGTGATGTGGGATATTTATCAAGAGTCTCTGGATGTCTGTGTTCATATAGTAGAAAAATTATCTATAATACTATCAAAATCCTTGTACTAATCGACTATTCTTTTAGAGACCACAATACGCAGGGGTTTTTTAAAGATTTTTTAGAGGCCATATACACGCAGGGCGTTTTGTACATTTTCTCGTAGGAAATCTAAAAGATATAGACCTCCGTTTTTGCAAGTGATGAACCTTGTTACACATTAATGTAGGGTGCTAAATTCAAACCTAATCTAACCATCAAAATATTGTGGTATTATGGAGCCGAAATCGAGCTTAAAAATTGGTCGTCCTAACCTGATGACATATGGGACCCTACAGTCCTAATTTACCTCAGTGGCGGTACCACGGAGAGGGGAGGGGAGTTCTGGGGTAGAGGTACCCAAAAAAGGTCACTGAAAAAATCGAAATACGCGGGAAATGCACTATTATATTTTTTGTTGGCTTGTTGCTCTCTTGAAGACGAATTTAAATATTAATCCTACCTCAGTGTTCCAGCAGCAGAGGGTTCAGCAATAGTATCAGGACGTTGAACGGCCATAGTCCCAGCTCCTCCACTTTGCAGTTTAATGCTCAACATATTGGCTAAAGCAGTTTTAGTTTTAGGATTTACGACCAGAGAATGCATCGCTGCATCTGGCACTTGAGGATTCGTCGTTGAGTCCGCTAGATGCTGCTGATTGATAGGCCGAACTACTGTTTGTTGAGTTATACCACCTGCAATGGAGAGTATGTTTCAAAAACTATAGGATTACGAATTAAAGAATGTATACAGGCTGTAAAAGTTATGATAGTCATTATTTAAATGGGTCATAGAGGGGGTTAAAAGAAGCAAAAAGTTTCATATAACATCATTACGGCATTTTTTTAGAGAAAAGCGACTTTAAAGTAAAATAAAATCTGACAACGCCGCAATGCCAGACGCAAATTACGACGGAACGCAGTGTCAATAAAGATGGAGTTTGTTATTTTTGGCTCATAGGTCTTATTTCATTATTTGATAATTTACTCGTAAAATGCAAACAATTGAAAAAAACGGGCTTACCACTAACTGTCTCAGCGCTTCACCTGGTGTGTGAAAGTTTATTGAACGTATTAAAAAATCCATTTATAAATAGGGAACACAATTTTGATACATACAGTGTTTTTCTTTTTAAAACCCACACTGCACTTTTTTGTATTTAAAGAAGGTGTTCAAAATGTCGTCCTTCACTTTCCACACAAGCTTCATTACGACGAACCCAGTTTCTTCTTACTTTAGGTCTTCGAAGTTGTCCATTCATTATTTCAGCCACATTAAATTTTTTTCGCGAAGTTGTTATTGGACCAGCCCGATAAACCATCCCTTTATGTTCTCCCCAATAACAGAAATCTGAGTTCAGATCTTGCTCGCCATTTTCGAGGATCAGGAGCATTTCGACCGATCCAGCGATTTGGATAATGTTCATTCAAATACTGAATGACGCCTCTAAAAATGTGTGGTGGTGCCCCATCATGAAGAAACTACAAATTCTGTCTCCGCTGTAATGGCATGTTGTCTAAGGTCTGTTCGAAAAGTTATGGTAGGTTGTTGGCTAGAAAGCTAAGGTATCCTCCTGACAACTTTGGGGGTAACTCGAAAGGGCCAAATTACCTGATCATCAAGAATGCCCGCCCAAATATTTATTTTAAAACGTTGGAAATGACCTTCACGAATGGTATGAGGATTTTCTTGAGCCCACGTGTGAGTATTATGGAAATTTAATATCCCGTCTAGCGTAAAAGTACATTCGTCCGTCGCTAGAATTTTCGTTAAAAAATCCGGATTTTCAATGTTTTTGTGCAAAAACCTCTGACAGAATGTTAGTCTGCGAGGATAGTCTTCTGGTAACAAGGCCTGCACTCATTGTACATGGTAGGGATAAAGCAAATTTTCCCGTAGGATTCTATGGACTGTGGTATGCGATAGTCCTACACGGCAGCCTAATTCCCGAGTGCTGATATCTGCATTGATTTCCACGAAATTTAAAATTTGTTTCTCCTGCTCTACAGTAACCTGTCTTTCACGAGTGCGAATATTAGTGGGCTGAACACTTCCTGTATCTCAAAGTGTTTGGTACACTTGCACAAATGTCCGTCTGTCTGGGTGTACCCGTTGATGAAATCTGTCACGATAAATTTGAGCTGCAAGATTTGAATTCTGACGAGCTTCACCGTAAACTAACAACATGTCGGCGAACAAAAACAAAACAACACGCCCGACAAAACGATAAAGTAATTTATCTATGCAAAACGATAACTAACCACTGTTACCGTTTGCGATCGATTGCCGGTTCGATAAGAGTGATGAAAGACCGACGCGAAGTTGTCATGTGTGTTTTAAATATTTAATTTAATGAAACTTACTTACTGACTACAAATTTTAGAAAAACTTAAAGCCATTTATTTGTTAATTATCCAATTTAAAAACGTTATAGATTAGATTATAAAAATTAGTAAGATTGTGGTGATTGTGGTCGATATAAAGCACTTAAAGTTGTAAACTATAAAGCCATTTAGACAAAAATCTATTGACTTTTGGACCATGGGTCATATGATCTTTTTGACTTGTTTTGACCCCCGCCCACCCTATTACCCATTTCAATAATGACTACCATAACGTTTACACCCTTTTTTTATATATCGAAACAGCCGCGGCTGCTATGATGATCCCAAAGAAATTTTGTTAATACGATTTTTCAACTGCCTAAGATTAGTAGAACTGGGAAAAGTTTCCTTTTGTAGATTGTTCCACAATCTAGATACCCTCGGGACAAAGGAGCGGTCGTATCGGCCAGTTCTGGATGTAAGAAGTTTGACACGGTTAGGATGGGACGCCGAAGTCAGGAGGGTCTGTCTGGCAGGCACATCGCGCGGCGGCATCATGGAAGAGAGCTCTGAGGAGCAAAGTCCGTTGGTGTAGCGATAGAAAAGAGCTAGATCGCCGACGGCCCGCCGGTGCGAAAGAGTCCCGAGACTGTCTGTTAGAGAAGAGTCATCGATCAGTCGGACCGCCCTCCTCTGGACAGCATCGAGCATGGACAATGTAGTCGGGGCGGCAGCACCCCAAATGTGTGAGCAATACTCGAGGCTAGGCCTTATCTGGGCCTCGTATAGAGTGAGAAGGTCATGCGGAGAAAAGTACTTCTTAGCCCTAAACAAATAGCCTAGCTTTTTCCCAGCAGCTGCAGCTATTGACGAGATGTGTTCGTGCCAGATCAGGTCCTCGGTGATCTGGACTCCGACCAGCCGAAATGAATGGCTCTTTGGTAGAACTCGGCCGTCCATCGAAACTGTATGAGCGCTAGGACGCTTTTTGTTCGTCAAAGTACAGTACTGTGTTTTGGAAGCATTGAATTGTACAAGATTGTTGCGTCCCCAAGCAGTGATAGCCTCCAGGTCTCTTGTCAGAGAAGAAGTCGTCGCTAGTCTTCTTTTTTCCAGCTCAGCGGCAGAGATCGGCTTGTCACTCTGAATTCCTGCATGTAGAGTGCTGTCATCAGCGAAGCTGTGGATTGGGTTGATCGTGCGGGAAAGGAGGTCGTTGATATGTAAGAGAAACAGTGTTGGAGCCAAGACCGATCCCTGGGGAACACCCGCATTGACGTTGTGGGATGAAGAGGAGAACCCGTCAATTGCGACGGATATCTTGCGGCCAGAGATAAAGTCAGCCACCCATCTGCAAAGCTTTTCTGGGAGGCCATAGGATGGAAGTTTGCTTAAGAGGGCAGCGTGCCACAGCTGATCGAACGCTTTCGTGATGTCAAGAGCAACGACATGAGCCTCACCATGAGACTGGATGAGTTTACTCCACAATTGCGTGACGTAAGCTAGGAGGTCCCCTATGGATCGTTGGTGCCGGAAACCGTACTGCCTGTCGCTAATCAAGCTGTGACGTTCGAGGTAGTCCAGAAGCTCGCGATTTATGCACCTCTCCATCACTTTACTTATAACAGAAAGCAGAGCTATAGGCCTGTAGTTGTAAGGGTCGGTCTTAGACCCTTTTTTTGGGATGGGCTGGACATGAGCAAATTTCCAGTTTTCTTGGAAGGTGCTGGATTCATAAGATATCTGGAAGAGACGCGAAAGAACTGGAGCAAGCTCCGCTGCACATCTCTTCAGTACGATGGCAGGAATCAAGTCCGGACCAGAAGCTTTGTTGATGTCGAGCAACAAGAGCACTCGTCTTACGGTCTTATGCCTGAATGTTACCTCTCGCATAGTGTGGGGAACCCTTTGAATTGACGGCACTTGGGCGTTGGTGGGGACGTCCATGGTGGAGTTGGCAGCAAAGATCTTGGCTAGCACTTCCGCCTTGGCCTTTGAGTCGAGTACAATAGTTCCATCCTGACACGTAAGTGGTGGAAGGCTACTGTGTGAAAAGTTATTTTCAATCTGCTTGGCCAGCGTCCAGAAAGACCGACTGCCATTGCGCTGCGACATTACCCTGTGCCTAACTTTTATATCGTGCTGGTTTTTGGCATTGCGAACCGGTTCGTTATATTTGTTTCTGGACTCGACGTCGGCTTGTCTGTTCTCTACAGTGGGGTTTTGTAAGTAGGTTCTGTGTGCCTTGATCTTCTGCTGGCGAGCAGTGTCACACGATTTGTTAAACCAGAAGTTGGCCCTGGTTTAGACACTTTCACTGTGTGAGGGATGTATTCCTCCATTCCGACGTGGATAATTTCGGTTATCGAAGAACAGACAGCCGACGCATCCGCGTCAGTGAAACAGACATCTCTCCAGGAAAGCTAGAGAAGAAGTCTCTGAGCCCCTCCCAGACGGCATGTCCGTAATGCCAAGTTTTGCGGCCTGAACGAGTTTCTGCTGCCACAGCGGGTTCTGACCGAAACCTAACCTCCACAACACCTTGGTCTGAGTTACCCAGGGGGGACAGGACAGCAGTGCTGTAAGGGACAGGATGTGTGGTCAGAAAGAGATCCAGCAGGCTACTGGCGTGTGACGAGACGCGGGGCAAAAAAGTAGGGCTCGTCACCAGCTGGGTCAGCCCTTGAGTAAGAGCGAACGCTTCGACTGCACGACCTGCTGCATCGGTCTTATTTGAGCCCAACCAAAGCTCATTATGGGCATTGAAATCACCGAGAAGAACTATCTCTGAAGCGGGGTGATTGATGTTCAGGAAGTCGATCTGGACGGCGAGGTATTCCAGTAGGTCATCCCAGTTATGTTCGAGGGAGAGCGATAAAGGCAGCAAATACATTTGGATGATGTTTTGGAGTTGAGGCGAAGCCACAGAATGTCCTTCCGGTCTGATTCCAAAGAAAGATCCTTGGAGCAGGAAAGACTGCTGCGGACAAAAGCCACAACTCCCCCATTCTTTCTCAGATTGGAGTGTACCTCGTAGTTTGGGAAGTTGAGATGGTTAATCGGTGCAGTCTCTGAGATTTTTGTCTCCGCCAAGAAAAGCACGGCGGGACGATTGGATTGCAGGTAGTGATGAACAGCATCAATGTTGCTGTTAATCCCGCAGATGTTCGAAAAACAAATTTTATCTTCGATGTTGTTCCCTCGAGCCCACCCTCCACCCGGACATTCCGAGAGTGGAGTGAATACAAACTGACTATACCGGATGTTTCAACTTCGATCGTCACTACTGGGATCTTGGAAACGGCAATGGCACTTAGGAAGTCTCGCAATTCAGAGTATTTCCAGAGATAAGCGGAATTTTCCAAAATCGT